CACTATTGAAACATTAGTCTTCGCCGCAAGGTAGATATATGAAAGACGCACTGGGAAGCATAGGAAGCGTAGCCACCTTCCACTCTATGAAAATGAAAACAATCAAAGAGCAACCACCGATGACTAGCATGCTTATCACCATTGCAGAGTCCCACTCGAAGTAAGAGCCGCCACCAGATATGGGAATGAGCAGGAAGATAATCCCGATAGACGACGCAATGACCCCGTAATAATCAATCCGCCCCAAATTCTTTCTGAAACTAGACTTCTGGGCATTGTTTGGTATGAGAAAATATCCCACCACTATAGAGCATACTGATAACGGAGCGAGGAGCCAGAAAAACGCCCGCCAGGTCGCCTTCATGATAAATGCAGCTGCAAGGAAGGGACCAATTACGTTTCCAAGTCCAAGCGAGGCACCCAAGATTCCCTGGTACTTGCCTCGTTGTTCAAGGGTCACGATATCAGACACAATGATCATGGTCAAAGAGGTAACACCACCTCCTGCAACGCCTGCCAGTCCCCGAAAGACATAGAACATAGGGGCATTCTGTGACAGGCCACAGAGCAAATCGGCAATACAGAGCAGGGCCAACGCAAGAAGGTAGACTATCTTTCGGCCAAAGATATCGGAAAGACGGCCATATAGCACCGTGAACATAGTATTTGCGATGAGGGACGATGTCCCCGCCCAGGAGATAGTATTTTCAGCATGGAGATCTTTGGCAATTGTGGGGAGAGTAACGCTGATGCCGTTCTGGTCGACGAAAGTGATAAGTAGTGACACTGCCAGGCCAGCAAAAACAATCAGTAGTTGACCAAGTGGCAAAATATTAGTCTGATCATGCAAAGCCTTCTCTGCAGCTTGTTGCCGATTCATCATTTCGCGTTCTATTCAAACAATGCTTGGGTCGTTGCATTGGAGGCTGAGCAGTGTCAGATCGGGAAATATGAGATATCATGCAGCAGATGCTATTTCTTCACAAGGTATAGTACGTGTTTGACACCCATTGGGATCAAAGAGTTTTTGATAGGGAATGTGTGGCTGAGTACAGATCTTCGTTCTCCTTTCTTTTATAAAGGAGGGCACAGAATGATGGAACTATAAGGCAAGGACGCGCAGCAACCTAATCAATTGGGAAACTAGAAGAGAAAAATTTTCTTGCTGATGCCGTTAATGAGTGTGACGCATTCTATCATCTTGCCATTGCCGTAATCTTTCATGCTGAACAAGCATCGGATTATATGCCGACATCTTCTCATTCGACGCGAGGGCAAAGAACCAAAGCCAATTATTGCCCAGGGAACTGCACAGATACTTCCAGCTGGCGGAATCAATCCACTTCTTCTCAAGCATTGACGCTATTGGTAAAGGCTAGACCGTGGATAGTTGTGCGGGACCCATTCCGCCCTGATTCTCGCTCCTCGTTGGAAACCATCAGGGATGTGGTGGATCTTTGCTGTCGGAAATTGACAAGCCCTGTTCGGAGGTCCGAGAGCTTGGTCGGATGCGTGCCGAATTCCGTCCAATGGCCCAAGGACTTACTCAGCGTTTATCAAAGCCACTGATCTATTCATTTTCCTGTGCTTTATGCTGTGATTTATGTTTTAGATTATATCTTCTCCCCCTCCCGCTTTTCCTTCACTCGCTGTACAACCGGGTTTTTGTCTGAGATAGTACTCATCGCTATCTTATCGTCATTACTCGAACAACGTATTCGTTTGCTTTTCACATTCGACCTGGTCGAAAATGCCCACTTGCTTGTCCGCGTAATCAACAATGTGGGTATCTCACATTCTTGGAGGAGCAGGCACAGGAGGCGTACTGGCATTCAAAGACGAATAGTTCGACCTACTGGTTCTGATGATGATCAGGAGTGTCCTTCAGCAAATGAGGTGTATTTCCAGTGGCTTCTAGGCTCAACCCATTTTAGCTTATGTACTTGATTAGAGCAAGTCAGTCCAGAGACTTGAATGAACATGTCTGGTGAAAAGTTACAAGTGACCTCTTAGCAGTACCAACTAGCCATGACACCCTTAATCATTCTACGTGGATTAGGTGTGTGCAGGCGCAATTGGAACATCTAGAGTACCTGGCGTCCAGGGTGAATGTACGCCGCGGGGACCAGCCGCGGTGTCTCCCCCATACCCATGGGCTTCAGCCACGCGACTAGCACCACTGCTACCTTGAATAGACTGCGTCGGGCGCCCTGTGCCTTCTGCTGCAGAGCTCTGACCAGGTATAGGAGGCTGAGGCAGATAATTTCCGCCAGTAACGTTTCCTTGGTTTGGAAAAAAGCTTTGGTTCAAGGCTCCACATGTAGTGCATGTGAACTCAATCTTGAAGTTTGTGAGAACTAGTTGCGCAGCAGCAGGATGCCCCTCCGTTTGAAGCCGTCTTTGGGGCTTGGGTTGCCCAGTCTGTGACGCTGACGGAGGGTTGGGGGCTGACACTGCATAACGAGCCTGGTGAGGTGTGATCGGCTGATTAAGAGGATTGCCTAAAGTTGCTTGCTCCGGGGACTGAATATTGGGTGGATGATGTACTGCAGCTGTTGGTTGTACTTGATGCGAAGCTTCTAGTTGAGCGTGCGACTGCAAAGGTTCGCCGTGGATTTGTGGAGCTTGAAGTGCAGGATGGTTGCGCTGCATGCCACTGTGCTGAATGCCCTCGGCGTCCATGATGCCATGTTGCATATTATCTGGGATCCATCTCGGTCCAGAAAGACTGCTGTAAGTTGAACCTTCTGCCGGTTCCTCAGATTGGGGTAGATGGCTGCCTTGTTGGTCGTCTCCGCTGGAGTCGAGAGTGTCAGCTCGTTCTTCCTGGGTTTGTGTCTGCTGTTGCTGCAATCTAATCAGGGCACGCTGCGCTTGCCGTATCGATATCTCATAGCCATGGTAACGCTTAACGGCATCCACAACCTCTTGCGCTTTAACGTCGTTCCTCATATCGAAGAGTTTCGGTATTTCGTTGAGGAGAAACCGCACATGCGACACTTCTGACCGAACAGGTGTCTTGATGGTGGAAGTCGCATTGCTTCGACAGCTATGGCGGTCTTGAAGGCTGCTAATATATGTCGCATTCTTATTCGCGCGACAGACGACGCGGAAAAAGCAATTGTTCGACGATCGACAGCCTATCACCACACTCTTTTTGTTGCTCCTTGTCACTCGAAGCTCCCAATGCTGCCTGACCGAAATACTTCGTACCAATGCTTTGAACTCTTCCAGCGAGGTGAACTGTTGGCCCATATGGAGCCCCGAGTATATCTCCGTCATGACGGTAACGAAAGGTGCCGCAGATGGGACAGGCACGGAGGGGTTTTGCAAGTCGTTTCCATCAGTAAAACATTATCAACCAGTCAAGACTGATAGGCTTTTGTAAATGTCGAATTCGTAGATCGATCGGGCGTCGTTTGCGTATAAGCACCAGAAGCATGTTCAGAAGGCTCCATCCAGCCTGTCACGAAGCCTAGATAATAGGGGGGCAATTGGCATCGCTAAATATAGAAAATTCCAGCGGATACTGGATGAATAGTTAGCATTGACCCCAAAGGGCCGTGGTTGGTTGGCTCACTCGGCGTTGTTGGCAGCGATAACAGTTAGTAGGAGTTGGGTGTGAAAGTACGGTACCATAAAAGGCACCCTCGTAGCAAGATTTATGGCGGCAGACTGAAGAAAGAAAGAAACGGCCTTAGCGCGGATCCCCAGACCGCTCGCATCAGCCTTTTTCTAAAGCACCCAACCTCCTCGGCGACCGAAGCAACCACCGATTTGTTCAACCGTCTGCTATCGGCGTCAATCGCAAGAATCATACTTTGATTTGCTCGTACAATGGCGTCTTACGGCTTACTAGATCAGTCGGAAGAAGGTCGGCGTTGTCACTGACCTTGGACAAGCTTCCTCCACTTCACCACGCTAACGCCTTCCAGATGCTCTCCACAAGTCGCGCCTGCTGAACGTCGAAGAGAAACCTTTCAAACGTATATCCAAACGACTTTTGAACCCCGATTCGCTAGTTGTCTCCAATGCAACCCTTCCTCCCACCCCGCCGCCAGATGGAACAGACGACGATGCCACCGTCGCAGAAGCAGAGAAACAGAAAAGGCTTGAACAATGGCGCCATTTTCGTGAAGACGTAACACTGGACTTTGCTGCATTCGAGAGTAGTATCGCGCGCATTCAATTTCTCTTGACAAGCAATGAGAAGGAACGCGAACGCTATGCAGCCGAGAAACTTCGGATTCTCTCCACCATGCAAGCCGTACGCGACAACACAGCCGAGTTGAGGGTTCAGTTAGAAGAAGCACAACGGCTCTTAGCACTGCGGAAAAGCTACGATGACTTGGCCGATAAAATCACCAGCAACCGTCTCTTGAAGCCGCGGGAAGACCAGCAAGCCAACCTACAGAAGCTACAGGCGGAGATCACTGAGCTCGAGAAAGAGAGCAAAGACTATGCGAAGACCTGGGCTGAACGACGAGAGCAATTCGGCCGTATTGTGGAAGAAGGAATGCAGCTCCGACGTCTAATCAGAGATGAAAAGGAAGAGGTTGAACGCAGGGAAGGTATGCAAGAGGGCGAAGATGGAGACGACGGCGACGTTCCTTCCAAGGGAAAGTCTAGTGGAGCGAATACACCACGACATGAATCTGATAGCGCTACTCCATCTCAACAAGCGCACGACGAAACGGGTCGTTCACCTGCTGGCCTACATGCAGAGAGGTTGACAGCAGCGGGGGGAGCATCGCCCTTACGGCAAGTCACCATGCTGGAGATGAAAAGAATCAATCGCCAGAACAGGATGCTACTATGGTGGACGAAGGTGAAGTAACGGGAGATGAGAATGGAGAGAATCCTGATGACTTAGAGGAGGGAGAAGAAGTGCCTGACAGAATGGATATCACGTAAGCGGCATACACATCTGTTATTATCATGCTATTGATATATCCTTTATGAGGTAAGGAGTTATGCTTGGACGGCGTTCGATTATGGAATTTCTCGTGATTTATAATTTTTTTCTTTTCATTTGACATTAGGTGGTTGTATCATTAGCATGGTAGCATATGCATTGCACTGATGTCCAATTGACCCCCCAGCTGATGGCCCTCAAGCGATCTCTCTCTCAGCCGTCCTGGCCTTTGATATAGCGTCCTTGGCAGCATTGATATGCTCGACGTTGCTCTCAGGTCCTTTCTTGCCCTCCTCGGTCTGCCACGGAGTGTTAGCAAGAGGGAAACAAATCATGTGGAGCGCAATTGATGGAACTAACCAGGAGACTCTGAAGCTTCGCTATCGATTCTTCGAGCTTCTGTTTCAAGCTTGGGAGAACCTTCTTGGTTTCTTCGAGCGCAAGACGCTTTAACAGGGTTAGCAAATCTATTCATAAGAGCTTCTCCATGACTGCAGATACCTCCTGCCTCAACATATACTCTTTGTTCTCATCACCACCCTGTTGACTCTCTAGTTTCCTAATGCGCTCTGTCTGTTCCTGTAATTCGCGGTGGTAAGATGCTTCTTCCTTAACCAGGCGCAAGACAGACGAAGTAATGATCTCCAATTGCGTGCGTGGCGCCATGTTGCTGTTACGTCTAAAAGACCTGTTAGCGATCAGCTCAGTAGGAGTCGGTATATCTAATAAGTATGAATTGTTGAGTTATTCGGAATCGGTGATGTTGAAGGGAGCTTATATCTGAAGCCAAGAGGTAGGAGCGTAATTGTAGTCAGGACCAGGTATCCTGGACAACAAAAAAAGGAGCTGCCATGTACTCCGCTGCAGGCCTTTCGGCTTTGACTGGGGTTTGTGGTTGTTTAGGATGAGAATCATGCAGAACGTAGATACCTTGTAATATGCGTTATCTTGTAAATTTGCAAACTTTTTCTTCTAAGGAGATGCTAACACGCACTGAAGAAGTTCACCGTGGTCTTCTTGCCCCTCCGCAATGATGATGCCATCCAAGATAGTTTTGCGTTGTTTGCTTGGTGGGGTGGAGTGCTATTGCACGTGACACCACCTGTTGACAAGTGGTACAGCCTTACAGGGGCATTAATGCCGTGGATATTCATTCCATAGATGACTTCTCAAGGCTATGGAATAGAACTGCGATTGCCTATTCCGGAATGAGTCAAATCATAAATGCATCCAGATGTCAATTTTCCTTACCTTAGCTTTCCCTAACTTAACCGGAGCATTCTTACCTTGCGGCCAAATCATTGAGTCACTTAACACGAGCATGGCTATCTCCCAACCGTTCGGAAGCCTGGCAACCTAGGTAACCCGCAGCTTACCCCCGGAAGCCGATGGCTCGCCCAGCCTTGACATGGATTGATGCGGGTCTTTCTAGTCTAGTATTGGACTTGCCAATGGGCTAATCTTTTAGCTCATGCATGCAAGGCTGTGTCTGCCCATTGCTGTGCCCCGTCGGGCGTTCGTATTTCATGGCACCAACCGCATCGCCTCCTCACTATAAGGGGTTGCCCCGAGTTTCCTGCGTAGAACAATGCTTTGTCCGGAACATGTGCCGAAGTTCTATGGAACGCAGGGCATATCGTCAGGCGTCATCATGGGGTGTACCTGTAACTATCATGTAATCGTAGCTCTGAGGCTCTTTAATCCGCGCTATATAAGTAACGTCCAGGTTGCGGCTTAAGACAACTTAGACATCCTGAATACTGTCGAATTTTGTCGGGCAGTATTAAAGACTTCAGTAAAACAACACGCTCAAAATGTGATATACCGTTACCTATAAGAAACATTCGTCTTCAAATTGTCTGGGCTAACTCAGCGTCGAACAGGTATGCGGTTGCAAAGCCAAGCGAATATCTCGTGCTCACTGGAGCCGGGATAGACGACATTCGCATTTGCAAGAAAGCTATAGTACTTCCCTTCCAGCGAGTATGTTTTCCCTTTCCAAGGGCCAACCAGTTCACTGCTTGAAAGTTCAATGCTGACGGCACGGTTTTATCTCATGAGTAGTGCGCGAGGATCTCTGTGACGCCCTTTGATTTGGCGCTCAATCTTCAGGCCATGACTATGGAAAAGCTCCAATTTTCATTGCCGGCAGTTTTCACTATCGGTGCCGACAATGAACTGGAGGCACTCAAGGATTACGCTCGGCTTCTTGCGGAGAACGCTGATGACAAAACTAATGTCCAAAAAATCGTGAAAGGCATTATCGAAGGTGAAACTCGAGTCATCGTTTCCAGCATGTCCATGGAGGAGGTGTTCAAGGAACGGCAGGTTTTCAAAAACAAAGGTCTGTAGCTTCAATTCAACCGGGCTAGCCCAACTTAGCTAACGCTGTTGCACACTGGCAGTGATTGAGAACGTACAGAAGGAACTTCAGCAATTTGGCCTGCGAATGTAAGCCACCATGATTCAATGAATGCTCCTTCCACTAACAGACGCACAGTTACAACGCCAATGTCAAAGAGCTCCAGGACACTCCTGGTAGCGAATACTTCAGCATCCTAAGCCAAAAAGCGCACGAAGGAGCTCTTAATCAAGCAAAGATCGATGTTGCTGAGGCACGGATGAAAGGTGAGATTGGAGAGGCAGAGAAGAAGGGTAAAATGAAGCAGGAGATCTCCAAAATCGATGCCGATACTGCGGTATTGGAGACGAAACGGAAGGCCGAAAAAGCCAAGGCAGATTCCGAGCTCATGAACCGTCAGACTGAGCTTGATGCTAGTGTTCAAATCAGCAAGATTACAACCAAGCGCCAGACAGAGATGAAAGATGCAGAGCTACAAAAGCAAGTGGAGTCCAAGCGTGCCGAAACCGAACTGGAACGCCTTAGGGCCAGTGAGGTCACTAAAAGCAAGGTTAAGCGCGAGTCTGCACAGGAGAATGCAGATGCCGCTTACTACACAGAACAGAGAGCAGCTGATGCGCGGTTGTATAAACAAAAGATGGAGGCAGACGCAGCCTGTAAGTTCACTAGATTCTTGAAGATAGAGAGTCCCTGCGCTAAATATACTTAGATTATCGTCAAAGCAAAGAAGCCGATGCTACCCTCTATCAGCAAAAGCGCGAGGCTGAAGGAATTCTCGAGATGTCTAAGGCATACGGTGCCCTTATTGACGTCCTCGGAGGACCCCAAGCCTTCTTACAGTTCAGAATGATGGAGAGCGGTACATATGAGAAATTAGCCAAGGCCAACGGCGATGCTATCAGAGGACTATCACCCAAGATCTCAGCGTGGAACACCGGTGAGTATCACTCGTAGGCGTTATTTCCAATGTGATGAGAGGCTGACTTCAAAACAAGGAGAGGGCTCTGGAGATGCAATGGCCCCCGTCCGAAATATCATGCAAGGCCTTCCGCCTCTTCTCACCACCATCCACGAGCAGACTGGCATCAGCCCGCCATCCTGGTTGGGCCAGATGCCTGCGAATGGTGAAGTCAGTACACGAAAGTAGAAGGCTTTGCCACGAACCTGGGGATTTAAAGCTTCACACCTGACTCCTTAAGCATATGACCAAGGGGAGATATGCCATTATTCCACAAGTGACTCAGCCATTTCCATATCTTGATGTTTTTGCAGTCCTTGCTCTTTGTTTTTCTTGGCCTTGTCTTTTTCTTTTGACGTTCTTTCCCTTATTTTGTTCAGTTTTGTTTTCGTAATACCCACTGTCTTTCTTATGTCGATATCGAATGCTGTTATGGTTACAAAGTACTGTATGTTAGTTAGTACAAGAAATCAGACACTATTTCAATGTTGTTTTATTGGTTTGTACATACGGGAAGACGGATAAGGTCATCCACGTCGACCCGGAGCGCTTTCGGCCAATCAAATCATGTGATAAGCGTAATCCGCTGGAGGGACCATTCATTGTACTTTGAACCACTTGTATCAACACATCATCCCCCTGTAATAGTCGAGTTGGGTTAATGCACCATTTGGGGCTTCCCTGGGCATATCACTCATATTTTCAGAACCTCTTCTCATTCACATTTACGAACTCGATATATCGCAATCTACCCATGCTACCTTCTTGGCTGCCTCTTGGTCCCATACTCGATAATGCCGCCGCCTTCGCTCCTCCAACTATGTACAGCGACTGCTGTTAAGAACGTGAAATGTGCGCATATCCCGCTGAACTTGTGCTTGGAATCCTCATACTAACCTCATAACTTCCTCAGATTTAAATGATATTGGAAATGTCCCGTATATCCTTGCGCGCCCTTTTCTCCTGAAAATCGAAAGTCCTGAGAAACTCGTGAGTCGTTCTAGGACCAGTTGACTAGCCCCTTAGCTGACCACTGCCGCCTTGATAGAGAACACTAGAACTGCAATCCCCTCATATTATAGACGAAGATAAAGAGCTCTGGCTCGAGTTTATAAAGCGAGATATACCTAGGTGGGACGAGTATGATATACCGGAACAATCCGATTGTTGGTATGACGTATATTGCGATCTTCGGGAACGTGTGCAGAGGGAAGTGGATGAAGATGCCGAGAAACTGAAGCTGGCCCTAGATGGGATCAGTTCAGAACGTGCCAAAAATAGTGTTAACTTTGTCCCTGACCGCCGCGATATTCGCCTACCCCGAGAAAGGCCAACGGCAAAGCAACGATATGCTTCGTATGACCGAAAAATGGGCGGCATCAAACCTATGTATACATCTACGAGGAATACTCTCGGTTCGTCAGACCCATTAGGATCACCTCTCTGGTCCTTTGAGCGACCGACGCCTCCACCCAAGAAAAAGAGCAGTATATTTACTGCTCCAAAACGGAATAATGCCCTGGCTGTGCCAACGAAACACCTGAATAATAGAGCCACACAAGTCAGACAAGCCCCTCGTTCCTTGATCGAGGAGCATAGACGGCCAACAGAACCTGCCATACCTCGGCGGACTAACCCTCCTGCATTGAGAGCACCCGGGCGGTCTAATCTTCAGAGTATACCCGATCGGAGAAATCAAAAGCCAGTGGTATCCACGTCCTTACGGGATAGGGAAGCAAGGCTACGGGCTATTGCCTCCGGGCAACGACCGGGCTCTAGCACCCCCGGTTCCTCTGCTTCGTCGCAATTGCCTGCTGCTGCAAGCTCAAAGTCGAGGAATACCCAGACACATATTTCAAATAGTCGCAATGAGCTTTCATCTGCAGAAATTAGCTCTCCGGCACGCTCACACACGGAAAGACATCGATTTGCTGAAATGGAGCTCGGTACTGCTGCCGATGGGCCCAGAGATTCCCCAGCGCAAGCTCCTCGTCCTGCAATGATTCGAAAACGACCTCCTCCAAATGTTTTCATGCAACCTAAAAAAGAAAAGTTAACTAACATCATATTGGATTCGAAACTGTCATGGCCTCCATTCCTGATGTTACCAAAATCCCAAATAATAATCATAGCTCTGAAGGTATATCAGTTCAGGGGGTTGGAGTGTAGCTTGTCTTTTTGATGGTATTAGCGATGGGCGTTTACATGCTGACCTGGGTTCATCTTCTCTTCCCTTCTTTTTTTCTGGCTTTGTATACTCAACACCCCAACTTGGCATTGTTGAATGGAGTTTTCTCGAAGAACACCTCGAGGTGTATCTGTATTTGAACCGCATGATCTTTACGAGGTCTATGATCGTGATGCAAACGCATGTGCATTTTTGCTGCTCAAGTCTCCGTTTCCAAGGTATATCCAGTTACATTCTTCTTCAAAATCTTGACAAGCATTTTCTTTATTACGACTACATCTTTTGCTCTATCCTCTTTTTGCGATGTTGTGTTTTGAGAATTCTTTCGTGAAGCTTATCATTACTGCGTTGGTGTGGCACATTAAGAGTCATTCTGAGTCGGGGGCGACATGCATGTGACACAGACATGCTATGCGGGTTCAGGACGCATTCCTGATATTAAAACACCATTCGCTTGCAGCCAGCACTGGACAGCCCGCTTCCACCTCCAGGGTATAGTGAACGAAAACATAGATGAGCTGGGTTCATGCCACAATGATCGGCGTGGCTTCGAGTGTCAACTGCAGAAAACCACCCAGCTTATTCAGACACTGCACACTATTCGCAACCCCGGTGGAGTACGATGTTCAGGACTCAAGGTAGGCGTTTACAAGGTCAGAGATCCACCACGGAGCGCGAGAACGAGGTGTAGCGTCGCACCTCCTTCGAGGTTGTATTCCGATGCGGTTTTATCATCGGCCCTATCACCCACAACAAACGTATTAGCGAAACTTCACTTCTTCGGTATGGCAGACTTCGTTCCGGAGTTCCAGTACATTTGTTTTCCACCAAAGATCAACCGTTGCTGAACAGGTGGGATACCCTCCTTCTCCTCGACACGCTCCTTTATCCGGGACACCTGCGTAATTTTATTAACCGTGGCTCGAGCGAAAATAATTTATCGTTCGGCCATGCGTAGATCGACGGATACGACGTGGTCAAAAAGAAACCGTAGCCAGAGGTGAGACAATACCTTGTAATCAGGCTCGATATCCAGCTCAATCTCCTTGCCGGTAAGGGTGCGAACTCTGCAGCAACGCTCAACGGTCAGCCTATGGCCTCATTTTCACCAGGGTGGCTGTTTCGTCGGATCTTCATAATGCAAGGATGGGGGCTAAGCACACAGCACACATGACTCACTTAATCAACATCTTTGTATATTGTGTGTAATCCGAGGACTCGGGGAAAGTTCAAACTGGAAACCGGAATCTAGACGGGCAGGATATCAAATCTCAGGGAGGAATAGGGGAGGGAGAAATGGCAGTGAGGCTCAACTACGGCGGTTGACTGGAGATGGTGACGGAAAGCTGCGCCGTGGCGCGGGGCCTTTGGTGGGGCGGACAATAAAATCGAATACATTCCGTGGAGCTTAAAGGACAGAACTGTATGTCTATAGAAGGTAAGGACACAGGCCGTATGACTCGACTTTTTTTTGTTTGTCATTTTCTTCGTAAGAAATTTGCCAGTCTAGTGCATAGTCTGTATTCGTGGTACTTTCAGGCTATATGATTAGCCTCGCTGTGTGCAAATGTAGCCCTGATCACTGGTATGAGCACTGTGATATATACCGACGGCGTTAAAGCCTCCTGTTTTTGGATTTCACCCCAAGTCTCAGCAATACACCCTCACCACCAATAACCTGCAAAGGCAGAGACACCACCACAGTACTTATGACCAAAGATGTCCGAGATTACGTCCAGCAAACCAGAGATACCCAATCCTTTTGAACAGATTCTTACTGACTGTGAACATGATCCGGTACTTTGTTTATTCCACCCCATTTCCAGATAATATCCCCACATGCCTAATCGAAAATGGAACATAACAGATTAAAGTACAAGACCGCTATGAAAACCACCGTACAAATAGAAATGCACAATCCAAGGCCAAACTTCTCAGCCCTGATTTCTCAGGCTGGCAGATAGATGAAATCCTCCGCAAGTTGCACGCACAGGGGACCAACGCACAAAGAGACAATGAGCCCTCCTTTGTTGATCCTCGCAACAATTTCACGCTTTATGCCCGACCGCCACCAGAGATCCGAGACCTGGTGGCTGAGATCCAAGCGGATATTCAAGATGCTGCGCCAGGTTCGTTTTCATATGACTCATGATCTTCCGTTTAGTCATGCCAATACTGATCCCAAATGCCTAGCCATCTGGGTGACACCGCCAGATTCCCTGCACATTACCGTGATGGAAATGGCTAGCGGACGGACAGAAGCCGATATTGAGGCGTTTCTCACCCATCTACAAGAAAGTGGCACGATACCAGACCTGGTGGATTACACTTTCCATCATCGGACGAGGTTGGTTAAGCCCATTCTTAGCTATGATGCGAGTGCCATGGCCTTGAGCTTCGTTCCTGCGGCTGGGGAGGAAACTGCCGTTGGAAACCAGACATACTGCGATGAAGGCGATAGGTATACCTATCACCATTTGCGACGTGATCTTTTTGATCGCTTGACTGCAACCGGTTTACTTATGAAACCGAGGTATATTGTTCCCTCAGCCCATGTTACCATTGCGCGGTTTATTACACACGATGGATTTATAGGAGAAGGCTCAGGGCCAGATGGAGTCCCGGTTGTAGATCAGGAGCGAGTCGCTACGCTGGTCGAGAGGATCGAACAGATTAATGGAAAACTGCGGCAAAAATATTGGCCGCAGGAGAATAGGCCCCTGTCTGCGAAAGGAGAGTGGATTGTTGGGCAAGGAAAAGGACTAGAACTTTGTAAGGGTAGATCATATTACGGTAGAGGAGAGAATGTTGTCACAGGGAAAGGGTTCCCTTGAGTCTATGGATACATTCCATACTGATTAAAGATAGAAGAGCAAATGACGACACTGATTGGATGTGGGCTTATAGATGCCTAAGGCATTAAAGTAGACAAGTGGTAGGTGGTCTTGGCGTCACCAGAAGCGGTTAGACCGCACTTCCGTAATAGGTGCAATAGGGCCTAAGCGAAACGAAATCCCACAACCCATCAGACGGGCAGCCGACTCGATCACTCCCCGACAAGAGACTATCAACGACCACCGAATTCGCCCCGGCCAAGTCAGTCAAAATGGTAAGAGCCTAACATTATTGTTCTATTTTGCTTGCTGTTGTTATTTGGAAATTCTGGACATTGGAGATATGTGGTCGACATTTTGGTGATGCTTGCGGAGGACTCAACGGACGGGCTGAGAGATACCGGATTTGACGAAACGCCTACGATCGAGAAAGACGACAATATTGCCCAAATCAATAAAGGGGAAACCCGAACGGTGTGGGTTGACCGGAAAATGGGGCGACCATGTGTCCTGGTTTGAAGTGCGAATAGTGCCTACACAAACTGGATTTCGTGCGGTCGCGTCAAGGAGATTAGAATCTTTTTCGACGGCACTCGAGATAACGACAAGCGCGATACAAAGTCTTCATACCATTCATTTCCCCCCTCGATGTCCTCTAGCGATCAGATGTCGAACTACATTTCTCCGATGGCCGGAATCCAGATATCCTGATGCAGCTTTATCAAAAGTCATTCGAACCGCAGGCGCTGATATCTTTTCCCCAACCAGGTCAACGTTCCGAAAACCCGCCGGACCTTCTGCAAGGGCAAGGAGTGCAAGAAGCACACCCAGCACAAGGTCACCCAGTACAAGGCTGGCAAGGTGAACATACCCGAACGCCCCGGTTCCTACCAACACGACAATTGCTGATGCGGATGGATATCTATAGGCCTCCCTGTTCGCCCAGGGTAAGCGCCGTTACGACCGGAAGCAGAGCGGTTATGGTGGTCAGACCAAGCCCGTCTTCCACAAGAAGGCCAAGACTACCAAGAAGATCGTCTTGCGTCTTGAGTGCACTGCTTGCAAGCAGAAGAAGCAGCTCTCTTTGAAGCGTTGCAAGCACTTCGAGCTTGGGTACGTCTTGACTAAAACATCCGGCATGTCGACCACCAACATGTGATGCTAACAATCTCTACAGTGGTGACAAGAAGACCAAGGGTGCTGCTCTTGTTTTCTAAATTTGCGATTTCCTTGTTCGGCTCTGGGTTTCCTGCATTGCACAGGCCGCTTCTCCCGCGGTGGGGTACATGACATTGGGCAATGGGAAAATGAATAGGACTTCATATTCAGAAAAAAAAGAATATATGACTCCTAGTTGATGAGTCTCTTCATGAATTAATCCCCGTTATGACAAGTAGAATGTCGCAAAATACCTTCCTTCACCGTGCCCGTGTAAGCTACCAAGCTTTACGCCGTACCAGCTGGATCATCGTATGACTTTAGTCTTCCGTATCGCAAGTGTTAATGCTGTGGCGATGGCATTGTTCTCTCAGCCTTGTTGAATGGCAGTGTGTCGCAGTATTTCATGTAGTCTCCACACACCCGGCTATCACGCCAAGCTCCAAATCTGCTATGAATAGCAGTGGGACGTCAACCGAATCAACCCTTGCCCAACAGGCACAAATGCCCTATGCCAAGCCCTTCTTTCAGACTTGGTTTTGTACGCAACGTTTCCCACAACCAACACTGAAAACATACATTAACAGGCTAGATCTGTTCCTAGGAAAAGATTGATTGCTTCTACTAAAGTGTACTTTACTTACCTACCCTGTCTAATCTTAATCAAAGTAAATTAATCATATTAAGAGAAAGAAAACCCATACTAGTCATATCCTTATTATATGTCTTTGATGCCTACATTGTCGTACATGCTAAGAGATCAACTTAGTTGACTTGAAACAATACTAGTAGTGTAATCTTGGACTTAACAGTGTAAGTAGTTTCAGACTTTGAAAACGCGATAGTCTCTAAGTCAAGGCTTGGACCATATAGTATGTATATATTTACTTGGTACAACTGACGGAACGGCACGACAATTAACTAACTATATATGTTCTCAACACAGCGCCATGATCTCGCTCTTGACTACAGCCCAAAACAACAATAACAACAACATTGGAGACTGGGTCAATTTTGCAACCTAGCCTGACCTTAAGTTGCATGTAGCCTAAATGCTGTTGTTCAGTTCGAAATATTGGCATGAATGGATATCTCCGAATAAGTTGAACATGCCAGCTGTAACGTAGATCAGTGTATAACAGTAATTGTTCTAGGCTTAGATTTAGAATCTTAGTTGCTGGCAATCTGCGGCAATATAGAGATAGACTTGTTCGATAGAAGCTTTCGCACCTGAGAATCTTACCTTGGGGTCCATAGTGTCTAATCAGCAAGACATGTAGCCTAGCTTTGAACTGACGCCATCAGTTGCAGGAATAGCTGCAGCTGAGACAACACGGGATTGCCTTCTTGGGCTCCCCCGCGCTTCTACCCCCCCTCTTTTCCCCCCGGATCGTCCTTCCCCCCGTATTCTCTCCAGTAATCTCCCAGCACCCCCACGGCATGACACTTGGATCGGCTATGCTCCGAGCTACTAGTTCATGGATTTGCACCTCGGTCGACTGGTCACCAGTGTAATGATAGTTTGGCTATGGTATATATAAGCTAGAGGCTGTATTCCAAGTACTGTGAAATCACTACTACCTTCGTCAGTCTATCCCTTCGCAAGAAACGATGGCTATCTGGTATACCCTAGGCGTGGCTTTTTTCGCCGCAATCGGCACATTCCTTTTCGTAAGCTCATATTCTTCTTCAAAGCGTATGACTGAATGAATTCTGATGCGCCAATAGGGCTTTGATACCGGAATTGCGACCACAAGTAAGTGCAAGAAAAAGACTTGTCAGTTGCTAGCAGCAAACTCATGCCGTGCCCAGCAATCGCTCATCAGAGTTGGATTGATTATATGCAACACCCTTCCGCTGGACTTACTGGGGCTGTAAGTTGACCTTGCACCGCTCGCGAAGAGACCGGCGGTCTAAACTAGGCAGGTGGTTGCGGTCTATATTGCTGGCGAAGCAGTCGGTGCTCTTACGCAGACAGCCATCGCCGATAAAATTGGCCGCCTGCGATTCATGGAGATGATGTGTGTCATTGTCACGATCGGAACTGTAATCCAGACTGCTTCAGTCAACATTGGGATGTTCCTTGCAGGGCGCGTGTTGGCCGGCTATGCTGTTGGGTATGTGTTCCGATACTTCCAACGGCCTGGGTTGTAATAACAGATGCTTTATAGAGGACTCGTTGCTACAGTGCCGATTTACCTGAGCGAGATTTCTGACCCCCGTTATCGCGGTCTCATTGGCGGTATTTCGGGATGCGGCATTTCCCTCGGCACTATGGCTTCCAACTGGGTTGGATACGCCTGTAGCTTTGCCCCGTATGGGCCAGTCCAATGGCGACTTCCATTGGGAATTCAGATTCCGTGGGGTATCATTATGTTCTGCGGGCTGATCACTTTTATGCCGAACTCGCCGCGCCACTTGATTCGAAATGGAAAGGTCGAGCTAGCGCGCGACGAGTTCAAACGAATCCGGAGGGACTTGCGTCCGGATGAAATGCATCGTGAGTTTGAAATCATGGCTGCGCAGATCGAATATGAGATGGAGCGGGAGATCACATCGTACAAGGAAATATTCAGGCTCTTTAGACATCGTGTGCTAGTGTGGGTTCTCTTCTTTCTCCACGGTTACATGTCATGCATCTAACGGAGCATATCTAGATCGATCGCCGTCCAGACTATGACAAGCCTTACTGGTGTGAATGTCATTCAGGTGCGTTCATTGCCAGGTCATTATTTTACCCGGACAATACTAAACTAGGTACATTTGCAACCAGTACTATCAAAGTAAGTCACCTCCACATTCTAAACCTACCTTTCCTGACACCCGACCCAGCAATTCTATACAAATCCCTAGGCATAGACTCCCACACCATCCTCGCTCTAGCCGCAGTCTACGGTACCATTGCCTTCCTCGTCAACTGCTTGACGACCAAATACCTCACTGACCAATGGGGCCGTCGAAAGTAAGGGTTCCCACCTGTCCATCCAGTATCTACCAAAGCACTCCCATCCCGCTGACGAAATCAACCCAAAATAGGATGATCCTGTCAGGTCTAGCAGGGATAATAGTCATCGAAATCTACGCCGCAGTCATGCAACGAGAATTCCAGCACACAGACAACCAAGTCGGAAAGGGCTTCGCCGTTCTAGGCATCTACCTTTTCGTCGTAACCTACTGTGAGCCGTGCAGAACAACAGACACCCCGAAGCAAAATAAAAGCTAACCACCTACACACACAGACGGAATGCTAAACAGCACAACGTGGCTCTACGGCGCCGAAGTCCTCCCCATATCCCTCCGAAGCAAAGTCATGGGTCTAGCTGCTGCCTCGCACTTTATCGTCAATGTTGCCAGTTCGTTTTTCCCCTTCCCCCCTCCCCCTTCCTGTTCATGGACATTGAGTATAGGTGCTGATTCGGATGCGAAACTTTTGCAGTCACTGAGGCTGGCCCAAGTGCGTTTGCTAATATCGGGGAGAATTACTATTACGTCTTCGTCGCTTGCACGGCTTTCTTCCTGGTCGTGGCTTATTTTTACTTTCCGTACGTGTTTTGTTCCCTTGTTTCATTATGGGTTGTTGCTTTGAGATCCCGTACTGATGGGTGACTACTAGGGAGACCAAGCAGAAGACGCTCGAGGAAATCGCTGCCTCGTTTGGCGATAAGGTTGTTGCACCTGGGGAGAATGGTAAAGATGGGGATGACGCTGGAAAGCCTACATCTGAGCAAGTGGAAGTTGCCTGATGACATCTTCCAATGCAATAATTTGATAACCAGTTAGTTACTTGAGATAGTCTGACCATAATAAATTTCCAATGATTAATTCTATTCTATGTGACAAAAGAAAACAGAGACGTGTCGTGAGACGGTTCCATACAGAAGACAAGGAAAGAGTATTAAAGAACGTTGAGAGAATGATCCAGATCATTTTCTCCGGATATCACAATTGCAGCGAATATAGCCAATTGTAAAAGCTGTGCTAGACCATGAAGGTCTTGATTTCTGGACGCGGGGTAACTCGCACCAGAGAACCTAATTGCAGTCACCCCCAACTTACTTAGGGACTGACTCCCTCCCCAAGAGCAAAACAAGCATGATTGCTTGATTTCATGCTTGACTCGTATACGGGGAGGTTGTGACATCGGATTTACTCCGACGGGGGCTCCCGCCACCTCGCTTTAGCTTTCTTTCTGCAAAGCTAGACTGAGTCGATCCTAGATCGAACGGCGGATATTCCACAACCAGAGCCGGGCTCGGCCTCTCTAGCCGGAAATAGCATGGTCTTTCGTACTGAGCCATGAGATCGAGTATTGGTAATGCGGCCCCAGCCGTCAATTTACCCCAGCCCTGACTGACGGAGGCGTTGCTCCTGCGCGAGGAAGTTCCAGCCATCCCACTGGATCGATGACGGACTCACCCAGTTCTGGGCACGGAGTTGAGAAAATAGTGACTCCGGGATGTATTCCACCGGTGGAGTGGGGTAGGATTGGATGAAGGATGATGCAGCCGAGGTCGGGCCGGTGTTGTCCATTGGTACTAGGTTTGGTTGTTGCTGGCTTCGGGCACTGACGAAGTCGCTGGATATCTTTTGTTAGTTTGATACTGCCTGGAGGTGGGATGGGGTTATACGAGTGGGTTTACTCACAGAAGCTGGCGTATAACCGGCACGGCTTTACTGCAGAAATTACTGCGGTTCGACAATGCGGCGAAGGCATCCAATGACCGCCAGAGGAGGTCGTGGGTCTCGTTGAATTCGAACTGGCTGTCCGGGTGCATGAGAATAGCGCAGAGAACAACGACTGCGTGGAATGCGTGGAAGCTTCCCAGCCCACTGTTGTACCATTTGTATGTGGAATACTGGGGCAGGTCGTGTAGGGACTGGTAGATTGCCAGAGTTGCCTTGGCAGATGCGGCGCACTTGGTTCTCGCAGCGCATGTCTCGGGCGTAACCTCGCCTTGCAAGTAGCGGCATAGGTTGGGCCGGAGGGCGAGAAGAAACAGCTGGTGGAGGTGGCCGTACAGGGTGTTTAAGTTGGCCAGATGGTGGGTTGGAAGTGTTTCGCCGCTGGCGTCGAGTTGATACCGCTTGTCGCAGGTTTCATGGATCGCTAGGATCTCAGTCTCGATCTGCGAGATGCTGAATCTTGGGGTGAATGTGAAGAGGGTTTCGCAGATCATCGAAGAGACCTTGGATAGCTGGTATTCGAGCAGGAGGTAGGTCATCTGAGTGGGATGCGTTGTAGCCTCTGATGCACCTCCTGTGAGCAAGTCCACGTCGTTGATCTCCAGCGGGAACTTTACATCCTGAGAGTGTAGTCTCTGATCAGGGCCGCCAAAGGTGTTGTTCTGGTTAGTATAGAGGATCATGAGGCCGGTCCAGGCACGCCTACGCTCCTCACGCTCGATGGGCCCCAGGCCAAATCGTTCCGGGTCAACATGACACCCCATTGAGATTGCCACATGATGCGTAAAGCCCAGTAAGGTCCATGTAGGTAGTCCACGGTGGATCCTTGCGTAGTTAACGAGGACGAGGCACTGGAGAGAATTGATGGAGTGGCGAGAAAACACGCCATCAGCTGCCAAGCATCGCAGCGCTGCCGAGCGATAGCGCGATGATAGGACTTTGATATTGCGGCTGACCGTTTTTTCACGGCCCAAGTCGGATAGCAGTGGATCATCATCATCAAGGGCGGTGACTGCAATTCCCAAAATAATAAATAAGAGGGCAATCCATGCCGTGCTTACACTGCTTGGATCGTGACAGAATCGCTGATACTCAGCCTCGAATGTCAAATCATGCAGAATATGGAACATCTGATTCGATATAGTTAGAGCCTCGCTAACAAATAAGTCTTGAAGAAGGATGAGATAGGGTAGGACCTACAGGAGAGAATACTCGGAAGTAGACGTCTTTTAGCGCGTCGCAATATCGGCCCGGAGGAAGCACTGCCAGCAATTCCTCTCTAGAAATATTGTTTTTGGCAAAGGGAATCTGCAAATCATCGCCTTCCTCTGGGATGTCGGCATCCACGTCTTGCACGGCACTTCCAGTCACTGAACCCCATTGAGATGCCAGCGGGAGATAACGGACATAGCCGGAAGAAAATGTCTGTAGGGTGCCAAAGTTGCCCAGGAACGGGCTTCTGATGTCAGGCTGGCTGAGACCGAGGGAACTATCTGGTTCCGAGAAGCTCCCGGCCACACTCGGCGACATTTGAGGTGAAAGGGAATCACTCATGTATGAACTGGCGGCCTGCTTGTGCAGTGTATCTTCAAGATTGCGGATGCGCGCCAGCAGCTCCTTTTGCAAAGTCGCGTCCGCCGTCACGGTATTCTCAGAGGATAACCGAGGCTGGCCTAAGTAGACACAGTCTTCTGCTCCTAATCCTCGTCGGACACATGTCTGGCATGGACGGCCGTCTCGAGAGCAGCGGATCTTCCTTGTACGGCATGCTTGACAGCTAATGGGCAGTCTCTTCCCAGTGGAACGACTTGATGAAGTCATAGTACCGATGGAGAGGGAAGAGGGAGTGGTCTAGCCAAGTCCACACGAAAAGAGTTCAAGTGGAGGCCGTTACGGGTTGGGGCGTGAAAAGAGAGGTTATAAATAATCCACACCCTATGATGGTGTCCACAGTCTTGGATGGAGAAAGAGATGAGTGCACACTTCCGAGAACTCGAGAATTCCGGTCGCCTTTAAACCGGAGAGGAATCGCCCTTGTTCAAAGATCTGCGAGCTAAATCGGTAGATGAGCTACACCGAATCGAGATGAAGACCTCCATTCCATGCGCTGTCGGTATGAGGAATGGGCAATGAGCATTAAAGTTAACCCTGCAACAAATTGGAACATAGGCTTCCTTTCCTAGTTGGCTGACAGTTGGCTACATGTCGAATCAGGAACGGAATCTTTGACCTTCTAGGGGCATGCAGCCATGCTTTCTAGAAAACGAAAAACCATGTGGCCAGCCTCAATCCGCTTAAACTTTTCACATTGCAGGATTGGTGCCATGTGGGACGGTCTGCCACGCGAAAAAGGGAGCAAGGAACATGGCCAACGTGGAAACTATTTGACAATGGCGAGAAATGGATTTTAGGATCCGCTGGGGCTGATCCCCAAGTGGAGATTCGTCCAAAGGATGTGTGTGTGGGGGAAAGGAAGGGTTGCAGATGAAGGCGCGACCATAACGCTGGAAACAAAAAGAAAAAAAACAAAAAGAAAAGAAAAAGAAAAAGAAAAGAAAAGAAGGAAAAAAGAAAAGAAAGGTGTACCATCTCCGTCAAGTCGATATTTCTCCACACCCATTAAATTGCGGCGCTCTTTTTCTTTTCCTTTTATTATTATGGATTTTCAATCAACTAGTCAATGTGTTTTAATTTAATTTGATACCTTCTTAGACAATAGACTCGTCTCGTTCCCCTCGCCTCTTTTTTTGCCCCCTCGGATGAGACTCGGCATCTTGTGAGTAACCAGAAGAAGATGCGATTGACAGATGCCGGCATGATTCAAGATTTATTCGGATTATTTCCGTGTATTCCGTACTAGTATACGGAGTAGTCAGAGGAGTAGTGACATGTCTCATCATGCTGGGGTGTAACTCGGCACTGCATGGTTCATTGGTACATGGAAGACCATCCTATCATCCCCTTGTCCGTCTCACGGACGTCACGGCAGTGTCCATTATGCACATACCATCCAGACAATATGCACCCGAGCCCCTTCATCCGGCAAACACTTCGGCAAACCCATAGAGATAGTTTCCAGCCGACTATCCTATTGGCAGACAAGCCGATACCTCACTATAACGACTACAATCACTATATACTATCAGATTGGCAAGACTTTGAAAATTCAAATCAAGCCAAAGAAAGAGGAAGAAAGGTAAAGAGGATAATAAAAAACAAAAAAAAAATTGAAATCAGAAATTAAAAATCAAATAGAAACTAATAACATTCCACGCTAGGACAATGCACTCCCTTTGGAAACGACAGTTACTCTGTGCTGAGGTAGAAAAAAGAGCAAAATCGCCACCGAAGCGTGAATTTAATACACCGCTTAGTTGGTAGAACGACGCTTTGACATGAGATGCAATATCCAGGTGTGGGTAAATCATCGTGGGAGTCGATTTTCTAGAAGCCAGAACGAAGATCCTTAAAATGACCAATGGGTTAGGACTCTCTCATTTAAGCGATCTAAGACTTCTTTTTTTTTCTCCTCCTATTTTAATTTGGTTTATTTCACGACGGTGCGTAGTTCGACCGGAAACCCGGATGAAGGGAGGCAAATTGGATGCGTGTTTCATTCACCCTGCATGTAACATGCATGAGCTCAGTCCTCCTCTTAGTTGCCTTGGAGCGCTCCGTGTTGCGTCGCACTACTGCCCGCGTGGCAAATAACGAGGTTGCCAAAATGATAAATAATAATAATATTAGCAATAACTAAAGAAGCTACCGGCTGACAAACTCGGCTGATAGAAAAATAGTTCTGAGTCCTCATGGAAGGGTTGTCGGCTATTCCGAACTCCTGGGATCTTGGGGTCACAACGATGATGACGTTGATAATATGATGAATCAGAAACAATACACGCGTTTTGGAAAAGGAAGGTTTCTAGAACCGCCCCGTACCCCGTGCGCCAGGGACTAACATGAGATAGGTCCAACACTAAAGTCACAATTGACGATCGCAAGAACTATCTTTGGCAAGTATTAGCATTCCATTATCCCACTATTTGTTGACTATTTACATGTGGTAGTCCCGATCTTTGTGCATACTTGCTTCAACTCACTCAGGTACCTCTCCCACTTTTCCAAACCATGGGCGGTAAGGAAATCAGGGACCCCGTGATCCACGGAAACCCTTTCCCCACGAGTTTCCAGAAATGCCGTTGGAACTCTCCAAGGAATGAATGGGCCATTCCATCCAAAGATAGTGGAAGGCAGAGCCTCACTACTCAGGGTTTCAGCATGTACAGCCGAGTCGGGCAACTCGGGGCGCTCAGCCTCAGTTTGTGTCATATCAACGATGAGGTCATCATTATGTCGCACAATGACTCGGCCAGTGTAAATAAGAGAATGAGTATAAGATGGATAGATATCACGGTACCGTGGTTTTTTCCTCGGATGATGATCCACATTTCCCCAAACTGACAGGTTTACCATGGACTTGAATCTTCGTCGTAGTATACCGCGTTGTTGCTGAATCGGATATCCGTATTGATCAATCATACACTCGTGACTCGACTGCTTCATCACGAGATAGTTGTTCCACGTGGGTAATCTCCTCTCCCCCAGTCGTTCTTTGTCCTTCTCGTCCCTTCTTTCTATCCATACCTTCCTCACTTTCCCGTTCCACCCTCTTCATCCATCGTCGTCGATCTTCATCATGTTTATCAAGATCCTTCTTATATGCCACTTTTATTGATCGTTTGATGTGTTGCAGATCCTAAAATAAACTAGCCCTCTGTTTTTGCCAGTTATCCAAGCCCCTGCATGTTGCTAGTGATCAGTAGTCTGACGGGCGCGTGCGGGATCTGATTTGCCCCTCTTGGTCGCTAGGCCCGGATTTCCCCTCCACTCAAGGGCTCCTGAACTGTGTCGAATCTTCTGCTGCTTCGATCCGCATTTTGTCATCCTTCCCGTCCATCAGCCTCCAACTAAGTCATCCCTTTTTACCGTTACCTCTTCATACACGGTTCCAGCCTCCTCCGTACCCTCCCCCACTTTTGCAGCCCCTCATCCGGCTTCACATTCCAACAACTGAATTCGCGACCCTACCTTCCGTTTTATCCATTACGAGGCAGTTCTTTATTCTTTCTTTCATATTTGTCTACAATTATCCTCATGTCATACATATACAGAGAGCGTGAACGAGAACGCGACTGGGATGAACCTCGTTCTCCAGTTACGATCAAACGTTACGTCATCTCCCCCGAAGAAGAGCGAGAGCGAGAGCGAGACGTTCTCTACCGACGCGAAGATCCCTTGACTGGTGACCGAGAGATGGTGATTCGGCGGTCTACTGACCGGGAGGAGCCCGTCATGCTTCAACGTTACGAGCGCGATGTTGACTACGATTCCCGCAGCTATGACTACCGTTCCGAGAGGGATTATTACGAACGTGAGTACAAAGAGCCTGAACAGCTCCATCGCTATGATCCTACCCCCGTTGTCATTCTTGAGAGACAACCAGTACTTATGGTTGAAGCTCGAGGTCCTGTCTACGTCAACCCGCGGGAATCCGACTATGAGGTTGTCCATCGCTCCGAAGTGGACCGAGAACCCGGGTACTATTATCATCGCCGTGTTCGCGAATATGACAACGATCGTCGTTTTCACCGTGAACTTAGCCCTAGCGACTCAGTGTCCCAGACTACCCGTCGTCGGGATGACCGGGATGATCGCGACTATAGCAGCGATGATAGCATGGTCTACATCCGCAAAGAGACCCGTGAGTATGATGACCACCCACACCATCGACGTCATCTTGCCGAGGGTGCTTTGGTGGGAATTGGTGCTGCAGAATTACTCCGCAGTCGTCGGAAAAAGGAAGGGGAAGACGTCTCGAGTGGTGTGGGTCGTCTCGGACGGGATATTGGTGCTGGTGCCCTGGGTGCTGTAGCAGTGAATGCGGCATCCCGAGCCAGAGATTACTATCGTAGCAAGAGCCGGCATCGTTCGCACTCATTTGACGATGATCGAAGCTCACGCTCGCATCACCACCATCATCATCACAGTCACAGCCACTCCCGTCGCAGTCGCAGCCGCAGCCGCAGCCGCTCTCATTCTCATTCCCGAGCGAGAACTTTGGCAGAACTTGGCCTCGGTGCTGCTGCTATTGCTGGCGCCGTGGCCCTTGCTCGTAACAAATCTAAAGATGAGCGACGAAGCCGTTCTCGCCATCGAAGTAGGTCCCGACACCACCGTTCATCTTCTGTCAGGTCTGGAAGGACTACCGATGGCGAAAAGCGCAGCGAGTCGCAACGCAGGAAGCATATGGCGGGCGCTGGCTTGGCTGGTGCTGCGGTGGCTGGTCTCGTGGAGAAGGCACGCAGTCGCTCCCGCTCTCGTAAGCGTGGATCGCGATCTCATAGCAGGCTCAGGAAAGCCCTCCCTGTCGTAGCGGCTGGCTTGGGCACCGCTGCCGCCGCGGGGCTTTACGAAAAGCACAAGGAGAAGAAAGAAGAGGGCGAAGCTTCGCACCGCAGGGCACGATCGAGATCTCGAAGCAGGCGCCATCCGAAGTCTACCCTGACCCGACACGGGACTCGGCTGGTTTGATCGAGTATGGTCAGGATCCGGTCCACGGAAGGATCCCCACGGCAGACTACTACGGGCGGCCTACTAGTCAACAGGCTTATTACTCTGATGCTTCTGACCCGGCTGTGAGCGGCACGGGATTTGGCTCGTCCCGACACCGTGGTCGCAGCATTAGCCGCAGCCGCAGTCGGAGCCGTGGTGGAAGACACAGTGGTAGTCCGTCTGGGTCTGACAGCGATCGCAGAAGACGGCGAAGGGGACAAGATAAGCATCGTAGCCGGTCTCGTGACTTAACTGAGGCTGCTTTGGCCGCAACCGGCGTCGGTTATGCGGCTCACAAGTATTCGCAGCGGAGAGAGCGCAAGAAGGCGGAACAAGAGAGGGAAAGGCCAAGTGAGTGGCCATAGCAGATTGAGAGGGTCACAGTGTGGTCGTACTAATATCCCTGGATCAGGATTTGACGAGGACACACGCCAGGACTCGTATGGCGAACCGTTTAGCCTGAACCATATCATCACACTGCTCTGCCTCCACAACCGGTTGAACAGCAATACTACCCTAATACCAATTATTTCCCACCACCTCCGGGGTCCGCTCCTCGACCAGCTGGAAGCACAGCCCCGTACAACCCGGCTGATTATCCTCCTCCACCCGGCGCGGTTCCACCTTCGCAGCCATATGGCTATCCTCCCCCTCCAGGACCCGAGTCATTCGTGTCTCGCCCCCGCAGGGCAGATGAGAATGTGAGTGCTGCATGGAACTCTTCCCCTCCCACTTCCCAAGCTCATATGGATGATGGTGGGTTCAGGGACGAACGCCAATGCATCAGGAGGAATTCTAACTCTAAAACTCTAGGTTTAAATATCCAGTCTCCGTCGAGGGCACCCCGTGCGAAGAAGCGAAGATCACGCGCTGCGAGTCAGTCTCCTCAGTCTAAGTCAGTTGCTTTTGATCTCAGTTCAGAAGATGGTCAACAACTGGACCCGGGTTATGAAACTGACGATAGCGATTCGACGATTGGTTCGATAAGCGGGGTTCGTCGCCACGGGCACCGTCAGCACCATTCTTCCAGAACTGAATCAGAGATTCAACACATGGCAACCGAAAAGAAACCGAGATCGAATACTTCAGGAAAAGAGATAGAATCAGATTCGGACTCGACAATTGACCTACCTGATCGTTTCGACTCACAAGGCCGACTTCTGCCCCAGCGCGAAGGCGATATGTTCGCCGACGGGCTCGACAGCCTCTTGAGGGGATTTAATAAAGTTTTTGTCTAGCTGCTTGGTTTATCATACTGTTTTAGATTTGGTGATTATGTGCCTTTTAGGGCTTTGATTTGACGTGATGACCTTACGATTCATGAAAGTTCTTGATCTATGACATGGAAAATTTTGGGACGATATGATGTGATGATATTGATCATGGATTTAACGATTTTGCTTAGAAATCAGATGTTCTTCTCGACTAAATAGTACTATGGTATCTAACCAATGCTCAATCAAGACTTTTGCGAATATGGATCCCCATCTGAACTCCAAACCCGAAAACTTTCAGATGACTTAAGTACAACAGTAAGCACATTACGTGCGCTGATATAATATATTATGTACAGACATACATACACACATTGGAAGCATGGATTCAATCCAGCTGTGACATGACTCTGGGGGCTAACAGAATAGGTCGCCTGTTCCTATTCCCAAATCAAAAAGTCTAATTGAGCAACACCCAGAACAACACAAAACAAAACCCCAGAACTATGGACAGAAAAGCGCCGGGCTGATGCATACATAATCAAATTCTTTTTTTCAACGTGCCATTCCATGCTTTGCTGTTTGTTTCGTGGTAATATATCAGATCATCGTGACGCATCGTTGGGGAATTGTAGCAAAGGTATAAAGAAAAGGGGAGCCGTAAGTCGACAAAGGAAAAAGTCATTATGTCAAACGAATCACAATCAGGTGGGTATTATGAGCCTCCGTTGACAGCTCCTCCTCGCAAAATGAAGTAACTCCAGATTAAGGAGGGCTCTTCTCATGTTGAAACAAAAAGATTAGCACGCCTTAGCAACAAGGGCCACCTTCGCCGTAGGAGTTGGGAAGAAAATGAAGGCTGGACATATAGGCAGAGGCTCTAACCATGGCAAAAGAATATACAAAAAAAGAGCAAGAGCAGAGGCGAAAATGACACGGTGTAGCCCTGACTGACTATTGGGATCGACGGAAATCGAGCTGTGATCACTCATTAGGTGATTCCAAGGGCTTCTCGTACTAAATCGGCCATTGAGCGTCTAGTCACAGTTTGACGCAGCTCGGGAAGACTGCGACGAAATAACCTTGTCTTGGATATGGTAACAGTGTCGTTGTCGCCAGGTTCAGGCTTGTTGTCATCTCCAGTGCCGTTGTCACCTTTATCGGGCACCACTTGAACACTGGAGCTGACAGATGCTGAAAGGAATCGGGAGCTCAGTGGTAACTGGTACTTCACAACACCGCGGACTATCAGCTCAAATGGGTGTTGCAATACCCGTTCCCACCGCTCTGTACCGCCCTCCTCCGTCTTATTACCGGGTCGGGCGAGACGGATTTGGCCCTTAGAGGTGGATGGGACATAGTTCCATGGTGACGCCTCGAAGGTTAGGGGTGAGTCAAAGCGGAAAACACGGCCTAGCAACATTGTCTGGGGGTCACCCGCCGGGTCAGTTGGGATAGGATCGGTGCCTTTGTCCACACCACCATTTCTGTGTGCGATACGCTCTGATAAGCCGGTTTCATTTAGCAAGCAACCACTGCTTCCGGCACAACGTGCTAGACGAGCTAAATGGGCTCGTTTCCTGCTATCTCCAACACGGGGAAAGTCACTCCAGTCGGATCCTTGATCCCGCCAGAGTTTGTCGGTCCCAACAAATCGACTCTTTGCAAAGATGTTCATATCCATATCGTCAATTGCAACGGGAAAGAGGTTAGGGTTCGTGGCGCGTACACTGAGGTCCAACATGATCTCTTGTTCAGACGCGAGAACATTCTGGATAGCAAGGATCTGGACATCCACAAGCGATTTGGTAATACCAACAATAAAGGACGTAGCCCCTCCAATAATAACCAGAAGTAAAAGGCTTATGATGACGCAGGTGCCGTAGCGTGAAAGAAAGCCACGCTGTCGCTGCTGCATGTACTCGATCTGACGCAAACTGGCACTCCCGGGCCGTCGATTACCGTGACGACTTCGAGTTGCGCGTGGGGAGCCCACCAGGGGAGTCCGTTCGTCGTCTGCACCTTCCGCATCAAAATCGTAACCATATATCTCGCCCGCCTTTCTGGTGTTATTGATCGTGCGATAGTTCGGGTTTCCACGAGTGGCGGGATGCCGCGGCTGCCGAAATCCCCCGATGAAGTGTCGAGGAGATTTTGGATACGCCTGGGACTGGGGAAACGGGGAGTCGCTATCGAACAACGAATGATACGCATTGTTGCGCCCATATCGCCCAGTATGATGGTGGCGGGGCGTATGAGATCCGCCACTTTCGACCCTTGAGTGACTCCGAGCACTGTCTTCGCCTGCATCCCCATCGACACTGCCAGCGTACGTGTTATTGGTGAACTTCATGCTGCGCTTGCCTGTAACACTATGATTCCCGTCTCGCATCCCAGGACGCCCACGAGCAGCCAATTGGTCAACCTGACTGGCCATGGATGTCGCGCTAGGCGTACGTGAATGATAGCGACTCTGTCTCACTGGATATGGATCCGGTGGGTTCGATTCGTAGACAAAGGTTTCATCAGAATCAGATACATCAGCTTCATCTACAGCGCTAGCTACTTTGGCTTCGAAAATGTCCGCCTTGGAAGATGCAGCCCCGCTAGGTAAGGCTGTTGGCTTGCGCGTCCTTTTCTTTTCCTTCTTCGGGCGAATAGTTTCAGTGCTGGGCTTCATTCGAAGAGTGCCTGCATCTACACGACCAGAACTGCTCCGGTCACCTGTCACCACGCCTAGGGAGACCTGAGGGATGGAACTGACCGTCTCTGTCTCGACGATCATGTTCCTAACTGATCCATCTGTCGGCTTGCCGCGAGCACCCGCAAGCGATGTAGAAGACCGTTTTGGGATTAGGTTATCAGAGTCCTTGGCTCCCGAGCCACGACGGCGGCTCTCTTCTCGAAGTTCCGGGCTCTTGTTCCCTCCGCTATCACTGCCACTCTCGGCATTTTGCCTAGACGCCTTTGGCGTGCTATCCTCATCGATCTTCTGCAACTGCGACTGTTCGAGCGCCGACTGGTTTAATATAGTCTCTGTCGATGGTGTTGATTGATCACTGGCCATTTCCTGTACCGTCTCAAGGGCAGAGCCTGGCCCGTTGATGCTCCTGTTCACGGAGCGAGGCGCGCTGCGGTCGGACTTAGAGTCGTCGACCAGTAAAGATCGTTTGCTGGACATATTCGGGAGGGTCGGTTCTTGTTCCACCCGACGGGATGTGGCCCATAACGGCATGTTGGGTTTCTCCGGACTCGTAGCATCGGTCGACCGTTCGACATTGGATGGAGGATTGATGATGAGAGGTTTGCTGGTTTGGGACAGTGCCCGTTGCACGGCAGTTGTGGATGGAGGTGTGTCTGAGCCCGACCTTTGACCAAAACTCGACCTACTCGGGCTGCGACCAGCACTGGCTTTATGTGATCGAGAAGAAACGCGAGAAGTTGAGGCGGAGTTGCGCGGGCGGCGGGTGGAGCGAACGGGGGAGGATTCACGGGAGGATATAGCCGAATTCGTTGAAGAAGCTGGAGCTGACAACCCAGAAACTGCAGGGGTGAGTTTAGGCATCTGAGATGCGAGGGAGGCCTGGATCTGGGAATTAAACGTTGAACGTGGCACTTCTATCATGTCACCTTCACTAGTAGATCGCCGAGACGTAGACGTCGCAGCCTCATCTTTTTTGGCCCTCCTGGATCCACTAGAGGTACCATTGCGGTAAGGCAACCTCTCGGATTCCGCTGCCATGATCAATGTCGAGTCAAATTGTGATGACAAGACTTTGAAAAGTCAGGAGATCCGAGAGGAAACCGAAGCGGCGGGTCTAGGAAGAGAGCAAAAAGGAAAAAAAGGAAACAAAAGAAAAAAAAAAAATATTGGAGAGCCTATGGTGAAAGGGTGACAAGTTCCGAGAGTGACACCACCGTAGGCGATAGAAAAGGGGAAAATAAGAAAAACAATAAAATAAAATAAGAAAAGAGAAAATTAGAAAAATTAAGAGAGGTCAGGAGATTCTTGAATCGAAAAGGGTAGATCTAAGAGGTCGACGGATTCGACACGATGATGATCTTCAGTCGCACACAAAAACACGTTACACGGCCGAGGAAGTTGGACGAATAGACGACGGCCACATGCTGACGGGGAGAATACCACGGGAAAAGCAAGATTTCGTAAACTGTCTGTAGGCGACAACAAGTAGGGTGAATGATTCGCAATGTTCAAGAAATCAAATAATAGTCCAGGCAGACCGAAGTCAAAGTTGCGGGCGCAAGCGTGGACATAACTTGATCAGAAGACGGTGAGATGGAACGTCTAGAACATAAGCTCCGAGCCCGTTTAGCCAACGGGAATTACCGTCGATCGGAACCAACGTCCAAAGGCCGCTGAACTGGCCCTGGGTAGTGGACGAGATCTGAGGGTCGTTGGTATCGGCAATAATCGATTCGGGCTCACAGAGCACTCAGGAATGGCGACAGCGGTTCCAATAGGTACGAACAAACTGTCAGACGCAAGGAATCACGAATTCAGACCAGTCGTTCTCGCAGGGCCGAAGCGAATGCAACCAGAGAGGTTTAGGTGGTTGACTAAACCGGGTGCAGGAGGACGGTAATGGAAGGAAAGAATAGTAGCAGACTAGACTATCGACCACCCACTCAGGGGAGGGGGAAACCGAGGCCAATGACAGGGGCCCACGTCAAGGAACGAAAGGTTTAGTGTGGGAAGGCCGAGGACACGATCTGGGGCGCACAGGCAGGAAGGCACCCACAAGGATGGGTTAGCGGTGGGAACGGGGCGGAGGAACACCTGCGAATGATAAGGAAGAGGTCACAAAGATTGTGTGGGATAGTATACAGCAAGAATGGGGTAGTAGAGAAAGGAAGTGACCGTGGGTAGAGAGAAAGAGAGAGAGAGAGAGAGAAAGAGAGGGAAAAAAAGAGTAAGGATGATGAGGGTGAGGAGATCGATGCGGTAATCATGAAGAAGAACCTGGCCCGGAACGCCCAAAAAGCTAAAAAGGTTATTCACCCGCGAAAATTACCAGAAAAAACTGTGTATCCGTCCTAAAAATTACTCAAATTACACCCAGTCATCATGACCTCATGAGAATGGACAAATCCAAAGACTCTTGAAGCCATCTGATTTCCGTGCTAGCTAAACTGTAAAAGCAAAGGGAAACAAAAAGAAAAAAAAAAAAAAGGGTGATGTTACATACAGTTACAGACATATAAACAAACCCCACACAGCCTTGAATTGAAGTTGCAGGGGAAACCAGCCATGGCCAAATTCATAATACAGGTGGTGGGGGGAAGATACATTTTATTTTTACTTTTATTTTCTTGAATTTCAGTTTATTTATTTGATTATGTACTTCCCCCCTTTCTTTCGAAAAGGGACAAGGGAAAGGGGAATCCCCTCAAGTGATCTCTATACCAGCCCGAAACAGATCTAGCCAGTAGCACATGATCGCATATAGATTCAATCCAGGGGGCCAATTATTGCAAAACCAAAGCCCCCTTTGCTTTAACTAAATGTAGACTGGATTACCAGACACATCGTAAACCGGTTTCCATGGTGCAATACGTTATCGCACTGCGAGCTACACAATCTTATACACCCGTTTGGCAATGAGAAATGACGCAAAGGCGAACATGATCAAACCAGCCGTAACTAATCAAAGGACGAGATGTTAGCCAGTCTGGCATCAGAGCTATGGGAAGCTGTGTGAAAGCAAGGGAAACCTACTTGACCAAAACCATGTCAAGCTATCTATATCCTGACCCGGTACCTTGACGTTCATTCCCCACATGCCACAGATAATGTTAAGTGGAAGAACGATTGTGCCCAGCACGGTCAACTTGCCTAATACATCCGCAGTCTGCTCCTGGCGCTCATTCATGAGAATGTTGATCTGTGCGAGATAGTTGGTATGTGCTCGGGACAGAAGCCTTGATGGTCGGTCAGTTAAAGATTCTAGGAGGAGGGATCCTAACATACGTTTCGTAGTAGGTCAAGCTACTCGTCATTGTCATGATGTGATCCTGGATGTCTCCCAAGTATAGGCCAATCTCCGACTTCGGCGCCACTTCCCACTGCTCGTTGCAACGTTTGGCAAAGCCTTTGACAACGTCTGCCTTGTTGCTCAGCAGTCGATACATGCCCATCACTTTCTTCCGGCAAACCCCTACCCTTCGAAGTACCTCGCCCGGAGCTAGCGTAGTCGAGGCTTCAACTGCATCGTCCTCTAGCTTGCTGCTTTGGCCCATTACCGGCTCAGGGGAGTGCATTTTCATGATCATGCCATCAATCTCGTCGACCTCATCTTCAATCGACTGGATCAACGGGCCGAAGACATCAGTGATATCATCGATTATGGCATACGATATCCAATCAGAGCTCAGGATCAAGTAATCCATAAGTTGACGGATTCGCCGGCGCACATTCGCCGGGTGAGGTGTCTGAGAAAAGTGGAAGGACAAGACTCCTTCCCGAAACACAACCACGTACATATTCACTGGTTGCAGGTAGTTCTCACTATTTGGGTCTTGATCGAAGGTTCGATAATTGACGAAATAATAATTCCGAAATAGCTCAACCTTCTCCCGTGCCTCTTGCATCATGATGTCCTCTGCTGTGAGCGCGTGGACCCCGAAGGCTTTGGCAAGCACTCGCATCTCTGCATCCGTGGGGCAAAGAACGTCAAGCCAGAAGGTTGGCCGGGGCCCATATTTTTTTGGCTTCGTTTGTTGCTGCGGCCGCCGAGATGGGGAGGCGTTTGCTGACGTGCGTGCTTCAGAAACAGCTTCGCTGATTATAGACATGCGAGGTTGTTGCTTAGGACCGCTCAAAGTATCATGGTGACCGTTAGTAAATGGCGAAGCCCTGTTTCCATCATAGTCGTGGTTGTTGTGATGTTTATTGTCAAAGGCCTCTTCTTCAGGGTCATGATCGGAATCCGTCTCCTCGTCCGAAGAAACCTCCAATTCCGGAGGGTCGGGGATAAAAAGCTCGCGGAAGCTGCCTCCCGGTTGTACCAGCTCAGATATTGTTTGGGCGTGTATCGTACTCTGGAATTCCTCATTGAAGTATGTGAATCGATAAGGTGCCTCCTCTTCCTCGCGTCGCCAAAGCTGATACTGTGGACGCAAACGACCTTCGATAAGGACGGGCTCGCTAATCTTCTTTGCTCGAAAATCACCCGTACGATCTTCCTTTTCCTCTCGGCTCCATTCTTCCAAAACTGATAGGTCAGGCCATTCTCTGCGCCGCCGTCTCCGACGCTCGGTTTCACGCGGCGCCCTTGCTGCGTCCTCATCGGCCAGTTCAGATACTTCCTCCGTTGGAAAACAAACGTCTTCTTCGACAGGCAAAGTGCGGCGTCGAAGGAGACCTTCTTGCGGAGGACGATGTCGCGGCGACACGGAAGATGGAGGAGAGCTCCGGATTCGGTTGGTACCGCTTTCAACATCGATTACCATGTCGTGTGATCGGGGCATCGATTCCATCCGATTGTCGATAGACTTGGCCAACGGGAAGTCAAAATCAGTCCCCGTCACCACCGCATCATCATAGCCCATGTCGGCCCCAAGCTTTGGTGAAGTTGGCATCGATGGCGGATTGTTGATATCATAATCGCGATCCTGTTCGGGAAACCCGGGGCTTGGGATGCGACGAGGTGAGCATCGGGACGAGTCCGTTTGGACTGATGAACGTCGTTGGAGAAAACCGAATGGTGTCGACTTCGAATCGGTTCCATATCGAGAGATATTGGGCCTATGAGCGGATGACGGGCGCATCAACGGTGTCCGATCATCCGCAGGGTTAGGGCCATCGCTGTCATCATCGGCTGGAAAAGTTCTTATACCAGACGGCTGATTACGAGAGCCCAAATCACCGGTACGGACTGTAGTGGACAAGGATCCGGGCCGAAAAGATTGAGTAAGTCGGCTGTCTCTGCGCGGCCGCATCATGGGCTGATTTCTGGGCAGTTCGGGACATGGGTTAGTGCTAGACCTCATAGAGACAATAGCATCAAAGACAACACATACCTATGGTCCAGTAAAGCTTCACTTTCCAGACTAGTGCTACTTAAGTCTCTCCCCAGCTTGTAGAACGGAAGCGCGCCTCGAGACTTGGTCTGATCCGCCATTATAGCCATGTGTTCCACTTCGGGCCCCGGGGTAGTAGGAGCTGCGGCATGAGGATCTTCGGCACTGATGAAAGATTGTCGACGATTATGACGTTTTCGATGCTTTTTCTTCCGTTTCGCGCGCTTTCCCGGGGTCGATTTGCCATCAACCTGAGGGTCTTGCGTCGTTTTGGAAACTAAGGGATCATAAGTAGTAGAGCGGCGAGTGTCTGGACGTGAGTTGATGGAGCGACCATCTTGTGAAGAAGATAAACCCAAATTGGAACTCGTTTGATACGCGGCGGATGGAGCGTCAGCCATGCTGATGGGAGGGTGCAGCACGCGAGGTATCCACAACGATTGGCAGACCGACGAAAGCCGAGTATGCTTATCTCCCTTGTAGAGCACAAGCCAACCCTGAATTGGGTAATAAAGTACCGGATTAAAACAAATGCCAGTTCAACGTTTATGCAGTTGTGATAGGCCCAGTGTAACAGAATCCAGCATTGTCGATGCCAATTCACCGAAACACGGGGCGAGGAGCAATGATTGGCGAAAATGGAACCTGTGGCAAGTTGCGGTGGGACATGGGGAATAGGATAAGAGCAAGGGCGGACTCCATCAAAGAGACGCTCGTTGGGGGAAAATAGTTGCCTGAGCTGCAGGAGAAAAGACGGTGTCGAATGGAGAGTGAGAGGATGAGAGAGTGCGTGGGAAAGGAGGTCAAGACACAGCCCAGTTTTTGCAAGTTTGGTTTGGTTTGGGCCAGCCTCAGGCCCACGACTGTCTCTTTTCTTCTGAGCTTTAACTTTCGGAATGTATGATGTATGAAGTCAACACTCCGCTTTTCTACCCGACCGGCCCTATGAAACCTAATTCATTGACATTGCATGGTTATCAAAATGAACAAAATATTCATATAAGTACATAAATACACAATATAAGTATGCTCTCGGACGAGCTGTCCTTAGATAATGAACAAAATCAAACTCGTCTCTCATATACATAGAAAGCCGTCATTATATCAAGAAGGCGGGGGAAAAAAACAGGCCGTGACATCATAAGCTCTAAAAAGTAGACGGAGATGTTGGCATCGTCATGATCGTCATAAAAGTAACAGTGGTAAAGCAAGAAAAAAAAAAAGAAAGAAAAAAAGAAAAATCCAATCACACTCCCATCGCAATTATCATTACCTTTTCGTGTTTCCGAACCGTATTGACCCATTATCCAACCATTCATCTTTGACCGTGACGCCCAAGTACTATGCCTTTTGTCATCCCAAAAGAAAATATAACCATTTATTGTTCTCAATGATTTTTGTCCATCAGCAAATGTTGAAGTGAACTCATGGCGAGATATGATCGAGTGTGACGCCTCAAATCACATTGCTCATGTCCATGGTCGACGACGGAGCGATACTGTGAATGGATCTGGTGCCATCCAAGGACATTCGGTCACCACTGAGCATTCTGGTAACCTTCTTATCTTTAGGAGAGCGTGCAACGAGTACTTGCGCCGGGCAAACGACTACTTCATCTTCGCCTTCGCCTGCATCATTGCCCTTCTTCACTACTAACGGGAACAGGACAACCCGTACCACAGCTTGTTGGGATTCCAATTCCTCATTTGAAGTAGTTTCGCCGCTGCGCTCGTTCATAAGGGACGCATTGAAATAAACTTGCCGTGCAAGGTCACCATTGGTATCGTACTCAGGTTGTAGTGGGGGGAGCATGATGTATTCCGCCAGCTGCGTGCGCATTTCGATAGATAGGTTGACGGCAACCCGCAGCACCTTGCGCAGAGACTCTAGAAGCTGGGACTCTACATTGCTCGGCGGTGGAAGAAGACGGGACAGCGTCTCAAAGATCTCCAAGGCCACCGCTTCTGTATCGTTCTGACGCTGCCGGGAGAAAGCAGGCCGCTTTGAGAGAAGGCTTAGGGTAGTAGCCCTCCAACGATGAACTGCACCGCGCGGGCCTACCTCACCGAGCTGTTTTTCAAGAGACTTGAGCTTTTGTCGTTGTTCACGGTCCATGCCGAACAGGTAGCGAGTGAAAATGAACTCCCACACCATTGTCATGACCACTGACATAAATACATCTCGTCGACGAACCCGGTCGGAGAGATAGACATCAGCATCGGATCCATCGAGTATGGCATTCTCAAACCGGTCTGCAATCTTCTCGTCCTGAATATCGTCGAGCTTGCGACAGCGGCGTAGGTCAGAGTGTTTAGAGAAGCGTAGCACCCACTGTTGAACATGTCCACACAGCTTTTGACACGCAGCGTCAAAGTAGTCCTCATCCCTGAAAACTAACACGCTATCGTGCATGGATGCGGCGATCTGCTGTTGTAGTTCCTTCACTTTGTCCCGGGCGCTCTCTAAATCCTCTCGTAACCTGCGAAGCTCCATATTCTTCTGAGCCAGTGCCGCATCGATCTCCTGACGTACTCTATCTTGCATTTCGTTCGACAGCTGCTGATTCTGTAGGCGCAAGTCGCCTAGCTCACTGTTGAATGACGTCCGTATGGTTTGGATCTCGGCAGCATGGGCGACGGTAATGTTGGAGTTCGTGACAGTCAGCCCTTCGTTCTCTTCCGTCAACCGGGATACTTCTTTCTGAAGCCATTCTACTGAATTCTTAAGTTGTTCCACTTCAGCTTCCCGGTCCCGCAAGTCTGCAGCTCGCTCGTTGAGAGCATGGTCACTCTTGCGACGAGCAACACTTGCATTGCGCAGCTTGTCTTCAGCAGCTTCCCGCGCAGCAACAAGCAAGCGATTCTCGGAAACGAGTCGGTCGAGGCGAGTCTCAAGCTCTTGTAAGTGTTGCATGCTTCGACGATGCCGGATGCTAGGCGGTCGGGTAGGCGACCGAGGCGAGTTCGGTATTTCCCCCCAGCTCTCCTAGGTAAATAAACGTGAGTGACTTTGAACTACAATACAAGAGTATAACTATGGCAACCAAGAATACTTACGTAAACATCGGTCATGGCTCGCATGGGCCGTTTGCCCTTGTCGGTGACGGGGTCGTAGGAAGAGGAAGAAGCTATGTGCTCAATATTGAGGTCCAAAAGAGGGGGCTCGACAGGTGGCTGGGGGCTGCACGATGATTGGCGGGCGCCGGTTTGTGCTTGGCTCGCCGCCCGCAAATCGCCGCCCGCGCTGCGATCCGTTCGTCGGAGCGACCGCTGAGAGTGTGCGCTGTGCACACTTTTAATGCTACCCATACTGCTCGGTTTTAAGATGCCTCGTTCGGGTGTTTGGATGGCTTCCGCAGTCCATTCGCGGTCCATAGATCTCGCTGCACCATGGTCCCTGGTGTGCAAGTCTCCATCTCCATCTCTGTCAAGTGTAGGCCATGCCTGGCGCGCCAGAGCATTGTCTGTAAATTTCCTGACCGGTGTCTCGGGCCGCGGAAGCACATGTTCTGGCTTCATCTCCAACCGGGGAATTCCCTGGCTCTGGCCCCTGGCTCCTATGGGGGTTCTTGTCCGATCAACTGGTTCGTGTTCCGCAATAGGTTGCAATGGGGTCCGGGGAGGGGAGATTGCGCCTCTGTCTACCACCCCAAAGGCTGAAGATGGCGGCGGTGTGCTGTTTGGTTGGTCAGTTGACGCATCTTCTTCGGATGGCTTTGGCCGCGGGGAGGGGTCGCGCGATCTCTGGATTGACGGACTGCGGCCAAGTTCACAGAGAGACTCGGGGCTTGCTTGCCGGTCTATACGCATAGTATCCGATGAGGAGCTGATTAGTGTAGACGGTTGCTTATGGATTGGAGTTGGCGCGTGTAATGGAATTTCCCGCGCAAGAGAATCTGTATATCGAACACCCTCGGAGTCCTTGTAGCTTGCTTGAACTGAACGAGATCCAACCGGCGTTTGGACATCACGAATTATAGCCTCTCCTGGTAGGTCCTCTAGCGTAGCAGTAGTTGACCGCTCTGAAGTCACCAGAGGGTTCGCAATGTGGTCGCTGTCCTTGCCGTCAGTAGTAGCGATGGGCGCTTCCGAGACCTGCATCGCGTCTTCGCGACTCGCTCCTTGGTCATTGGTCTCATCCTCAGCCCCATCTTTTACTGACTCCGACGACTTGGTGGCGATAGGTCGCCGAAATGCCCCTCGTTCCAAGTTAGGAAATATACTGGCAATTTTGCTTTGCTTCTGGGAAACCGAGCCAGGTTCTCCCATCGTCTGCTTCCCCGGGATAGAGCTTTCTGCATCGTCTAGGGCATGCTCTCGGGTCGCTTCTGAGACTGGCTCCGTACCGGGCGCCTCCGTTGACGGAGCCAATTGGTCAGCAACATACTCAGCTGTTTCGACAGTTGCTTCTGGCGTCGCAAGTTTCGCCTCAGAATCTTGTCCTTGCGGCCCCATAATTGCCTTCGCCTTTATGGCTTCAGCCGACTCGTCTGGTTATCTGGTTAGCCCTTCTGGAATAGCAAACTCATCGAAATCGGCAATACCTGGCTCAAATGGGGCCGCGCAAGCTTCAGGCGAAGATTGGGGAGTCTGATCTAAAGCATCGACTCTTTCCTTCTCCCAATCTATCAAAGGCCATTCGTCATCCTTTGCAGACCGTTCCGTTACCAATGTCTCTGAATGATGCTGATCATGGGAATGTTTCACGTTTGCCTCTCCACTGACACCTTCACTTTCTTTTGGTTCCGTGGCCTCTACGCTCATGTTCTCTTCGCTCTTCTGCTTGTTGCCCTGAGATGATGTTTTGGAATGAAAAACCTCTGCCCTGGTTGCTTCAGCCATTGGGAGCTCTGACTTGTCTGGGTTTGCTTCGTGCACAAGCAGGGCCCCATCAGCAGTCTCGGTATTTTCCCCTGATGCTTGCTCTGTTCGCTCAGGAACCTGCAGCTCAGCTTCTTTCTCGAATATCCCTTCCTCCTCCTTTGATACGGTCCCGAGAACTGGAATTTCCTGTTGAATCCTCTCTTCGGCTGTCTCAAGATTGGCTCCCTCAGAAGTCTGGCTGCTCGATTTTGGCATGGCTTCAGCGTCTTTGCCCTCTCCCTCCTGTAACTCCTGCGTGGCTTGAGTCTGGCTAGGAAACATCTTAGCTATACGCGGACTTCTTTCTTCCGTTGTGGATACAGCCTCCAATGTCGGCTGCGATACGTCTGTCTCGCTATGTGAACCTTGCACTCCTTCGCTCTGCATGGGCTTTTCTTCGGGGACCAAACGGGATTCAGCGGCACCAGCAATTGCGGTGCCGACTGTTGCTTCAGGGCCGCTTTCTGCATCTATCAATCCTTTAGACTCTGCAAGTGAAGTACCAGCGATTTCTATTGACGCTTCCTTGGCTTGCTTTTTCGCTTTCTTCTTTTGTTTTTTCGACGCTTTGCGGCTTAAAGGCTGTGTCATAATTTCCCCTTCGCCTGTTTTAGCGACATCCTGCAGTTCTTCGTGGCTCCACTGCTCGGGTGTAGGTTCAATACTGGCTTGCAGTTGTTCCTTCTCGACTGATGGTTGATGCTCTGGACTCAAGGATTCCACGGGACCCAATATTGCCTTTCTGTTGGTTTCCGAATGTTCAGCGGTTGTCTCTGTGCCAGCTGGTGTCTCTCTTGCCGCATTTGACTCAGTGGGTGCTTCCTTGTTTTCCCTGTTCTCCTCGCCAGAGCTAATTGGCAACAAGTCTCCGGGCTCTGCCTGTATCTCACTTGAAGCCTCCTTAGCAGACTCTGACGTGTTGGTCACCTCTGCACTACTGCAGTGTGACTCTTCAACTGTCACTGGGTTTAAAACGAGACCCACTCCGTCCAGTCTTGTTTCTCCGTGGCTCGCAGTATCATCTTCCTTTGCGTCACTTTCGAGGGCAGACCCAGCGCTGCTTGCTTGCAATTCTGAATCTTTGGCTACGAGCGTGGTATGTTCGGGTGATGTCGTAGAGAGTAGATTAGACTCAGAAAAAGTATCTTCTAATACAGGATCTTCTGGTTGTCGCGCCCGATGTAAATTCTCAGAAGGCGCTGTCGCTTCAACTTTCTCAATATCAAAAGTTGAACCGTTGTTTGTCTCTTGAAGGTCCTCGGGAGCCCCAGCCTCAGCAGGAGAGAGAGGAACTGCATTTTCATTTGTTGCTTGTAGACCATCCATGGAAGTGCCTGTTACCTCAGCAGTAACAAGACGTGCTTCAGGCGCTGCTTCTTGACCTTTTTCTTCAAGCATCTCATCTGTCTGGGCTGGAATCGTATCTTGCTGGCCCATTAACTCATCCCCATCTGGCGTAAGTGCCTTGCCACTTTCGTCTGCTTCCGCTGCAAAGCCTTCAGCGGGCAGATGCTCGAGGGAAACCCTATCTGCCTCACTAGTTGCCTCCTGCTCAGTCTTTGACGCATGGCCTTCTGTTCCTACCTCAATTTCCTCACACAATGAGACTGGTTCGCCGGGGACAGCCACGTTTTCGGGTGTGGCATTCTCAGGCACGGTTTGGGTAGGAGAGTCGAGGGGAGTGGCTTGCTGTTGATCTACCTGCGAAGATACCATGTGATCAGTCCAAAACAGATTCTTATCGTTCTCGCCGTGGGACTCGGTGCCGTGGGACTGATTTTCTTTACCGTCATCTTCAGCAGGTGGGGTTGCCGTATCAACCGAAGGGCCTGAGGATTTCAATTCAGCGGAGGCTTGGGTTTCGGCTGCATCATGCGTGGCATCTTCGGCTAAAGCGGCGCTTGCATTCATCAAGGGACCTTGGGTATTTTCTCCTGGTACAACTGAGGCAGACTCCACGGCAGTGGAGGCAGCAGCACTACCATCTAGGTTTTTGGACTGGCGCTTTTTTTCCTTCTTTTTCGCCTTTTTCCTTTCTTTCGCTGACATAGGCGGTGCACCATCATTCTGGGTATCTTCTGGCTGTTCCCTTGCCTGCTGTTCGGTTTTTTCTGACTCCTTCACTTCGTGAACGATACTATCAACTGCATGTTCGGTTTCAGCTCGCGTCCGTTCAGTAGTACTCTCCGGTGTCAAAGGTGGCACATCTTGACTGGAGATTTCGGATGGCTTGGCAGTATTATTCTGCTCGACTGACTCTTCGATAACTCCTGGAGCTGCAGTACGGTTATCCTCTTCAGTTTGAACGAATGCCCCTTCGATGCTTGGCTCAGATACAGCAGATGCCTCGTTCTCAATTGGTTCCTGGGTCTTGCGTTTCTTCTTCTTCTTCTTGTCCTTCTTTGACTTAGAAGGGGCACTCTCTTGTTCAGCCTCCTGGACTACCACAGTAGATTCCTGCACGGAAGTAGAAGGTGTTTCGGGTACAGACGCTTCCGGAGTGGACTCGACTTCATGTTTCTCTCCAGTTTCTAGGGCGGTCAGAATATCTGTACCCTGCTGTACGTCTTGTTTCTCAGGGGATTCAATAACTGGCGTGTCATCATTGGTATATCCTTCAGACTCAGGAACTATAGGTTCGTTTACTAGCTCCCTCGCCACTGAAGGCGTAGGATCAGGGTTCAATGTGCTGGATTGTGTTTCGGCAACAGAATCCCCGTACGGCTGAGAAACTTGTGCGTCGTTTGATACGGCCCCCTTGTTCGACTCTGAACCATCATCGCCATTTGTGACTGTCGGAACGTCCTTGTGTAGGTCTGCACTTGTTTCGCCAGGCTGTACCTCGTCGGCAGTAGTGCTATCAGCATTTTCCTGACTTGGCTGAACGAGGGAGCTGGCTTCTGCCATTTGCTCATTTGCCTGCTCTGGAGGTTGGCTAGCCTCTTTAACATGGTGACTCGCTTCTGTTGCTTCAGTGGTTTCAGATGACTTCGTGGAAGCCTCCTGTTCATTGTTTGCAAAAGAAACAGACTTGCGCTTTTTCTTGTCTTTCTTGGCCTTCTTCTTGGAAACTGGTTCCTGAGTATCCTCCATAGGCTCAGGCTCTACAGGTGTGGTGAGGTCAGCCTGTTCTGGAGACTCAGTGCGCTCATGCTCATTTGCTTCCGATTGTTGCGTAAGCTCCTCTGAGAAGGCATGTTGCGGCTCTTCTGCAACATCATCGGGCAGAGAAAGCTGCGGTTTCTCGGAGATTTCAAGCGAGTCCGGACGTGCATCAGAAGGCTCTTGCGCAGCCTCTTCCAGAGCGGCCGTAGGCTGATCATCTTCCAAAGAAGTCGACTGCTGTTTCTTCTTTTTCTTTTTATCCTTCTTAGACTTCTTAGGAGTAGGAAGCTCAGGTTCCCCTTCAACTGCGTCTTGCAGAATAGCATCAGTCAAGGGGATTTCGGTATCTTGAGTCTGGTCTGGAGCGGCTTTCTCGTTTATCGTTTCTTCCTGAGGTTGCTCAAGGGCTGTTTCCACATTCATTTTGGGTGCAGCATTGAGTGTGGCATCCCCAAGCTCTACCTCAACTTGTTTCTCATCTGTGGTCTCTTGTTCGACTCCCACTACTTCGACCGTGTGCCTTCCATCAACATCTGCTCTTAGTTGCTCTTCGTTCGTAGGGGTACCTTCCAAGTCGGATGGTGTATGATCTGTATGTTGTGTTTGGCCGGGCTCTACATTTTCTACTTCCGTTGTTAGAATACCAGCGATGTCAGTGGGCGCTTCTTTGGGCTCTTGCTGCGCAGGTTCTTGGGATTGATCGTCCAAGACTTCATTCAACGCAATATCAGGCTCTGCATCTGTGACCGTTTCAACCCTAGGTTGTTCACTCACGAGCTCATCGACAAGTGTAGGTCCCTCGGTCGAAGCATCATATGCCTCAGGTTCTTTGACAGGGGCAGATTCTCCAACAGAATCTGGACCACGTTCCGAAGAAGCATTCCCTGGGTTCAGATCAATAACGGGGGCAGAAGCTGGTGATTCATCCAATAGAGCGGATTTGCGCTGCTTCTTTTTTTCTTTCTTAGCCTTCTTCTTTTGAGCAGCAGTCATCTCGGGTGCTGTTTCAGATGAGGCGGTGCCTTCCGCAACTTCGGTTACGTCCAAGGGTTGTTCGCTTTCGATTGTCTCCTCCAAAACTAGTCCTGGGCTCTCTGTGGTTCGGGGCTTTTCAGCACCAAGAGGAATGTCTATTTTTGGACTTGCAACTTCTGTACTAGGTGTGGGTTCAGCGGCTGTTTCATGAGCGTCGGATGCGGACTGCAAGCTTTGTTTCTTTTTCTTGTTTTTCTTACTCTTCTTGCCAGTCGGTGTAGATTCCTCCGCTTCCGGTTCGAGATCAGGTACAGGATCGTCTGGGACATGTTCAAACATAGGTGGTGTACCATCATTAGTCTCGGCGGGGTACTCCTCATTTGCTGCTGCAGGATTAGCGTCTACGGCTTCAGTCGTCCCCGTTGTATCGTTAGTCGCCGTAGCTTCCTGTGGGATTTGTTTGTCTTCCGTAGGATGAACCACACCGCTTGTTTCCGCCAGTGGGATCTCGGCAGGAAGCCCCTCAGCGGAGAGTGGAGGCTGGGTCTCCGCATCGGCCACAGGTTGAGAATCCGAAGATATGGATTTGCGATTTTTCTTTTTCTTTTTGCCCTTCTTCGTTGACTGTCCTTCTGAAGCTTCCTCTAAACCGGCTTTCTGGGCTATCTCCGCGATATCAGCATCTTGGGACTCAATTCGTGTATCTGCAGTGGCGCCTGGTGTTTTTTCAGGCGATACGTCGATAGCGCCCTCGTGTTCGTTGTCCGGGGTTTCCTCGGGCTGCCTTACTGCAGGCTCTTCTTTGGGGGGCACAGCAGGTTCGTCTTCCACCTGTGGTGTGGCTTCTTCATTAGAAGGCACATTAGGTGGAACATCGTTCGTCCCTTTCTCCACAGGCGGCACCGTAATACTATCGCGCTTACTTTTCTTTTTGTTCTTCTTGCTGCTTCGTTGCGACAAGGAAGTTTCAGTTTGCGCGTCGATAACGTCGGTTTCTTGGCATTTTGTATCAGCCTCAGCAACTTCAGCCCCCGGCTCGGAAGAAAATGTCGGTTCAGCAGGCGCATCATTGCCCTGCATCTGATCTTGTTTTTGCGATATCTTTCCGGAGTCCAGTTCCATTGATGATTTGGCCTCTTCTGTTGTGGTAGTTCGCTCACTTTCCAGTTGTGATGGTCCGGATTCAGATTCGGCCGGAGCAGGGTCAACGGTGCTCGCTTCGGGGGTTAGCCCCTCCTGCAAATCTGCCGCAAGACTTTTGTGACCTCCAAGGACGCTCAGAGAGGTAGCTTCCGTAGGCGGCTCTAGCACTACAGTGCTAGGCTCAGAAACAACTCCAGGAGCTTCATGTTGAGCGTAGGCACTCTGCTCTGTTGAGTCTTGTAGTACTGACTGGCGGTATTCTTTGCTTTGTTCGTCGAGCTCCTCTGCCGGTTCAAGGGACTTCTCAGGCAATACAACATCCTGCCCGCTGAACTCCAGGCTTTCAGCTCCCTCCATTGTACCTTGCATGGGATGTTCAGAGCTGGAGGTAGTTTCGTCCTTTGAAGGCAGTAAGGCTTCTTTCACAGGCTGGTAATCATCAATTGCAGATTTTGAAGGCTTTTCACCTGCCCGCACACTAGCCTCTGGTTCCGTCTTACTGGACGTCACAAACTCCGCGTCACCAAGTTCTTTGACGCTCTCATTTGCATCAGATACCTTGCTCACCTTGTCACTCTCCGAATTGTTGGTAGGGATATCTGTATTCGCAGCTGCTTCTCTCTCGGTAGACCCTTGCTCCACATCAGAATCCGGTATTTTATCCGAATTAAAACTTTCCTGGTGAGCTTCACCTTCTGCCTTAGGAATCACCTGCTCAGGTACAAGAACGTCTGGAATGGTAGGAGCATCTTCAGCTTTGGGTAACCCTTCCACCGGAGCCGTCGTAACCTCGGGTGCCTGCGTTGTCTGCACTGCGTCTGTCCCCAAGGCCTCTGGATTGGGTTTCTGTTCAGTTACTGAAGTCTCAGCAGCTAGAGGAGCATCGTCTGACAGCAGCATCTCCAAAGGAGGCTCCTGCTTAGATAGATTCACGGGAGCCGCTAGGTCAACAGCTTTTTGTGGGTTTTCAGGCTGGACAGTAGGTTCCCACTCGGAGAGCGGGCGTCCCTCAATTGCCTGCATACCCGCTTCGTCCCCGGCTTTGAGGTCCTTCGCAATAAGCTCGTTTTCGGCTGCAAGTGCGTCTCCAGTTCTGGCAATATTCATAACAGGCTCAAGCTCAGCAACAGGCATATCCCCAGACACTTGTATATTTGCTGCCTCGTCTGGCTTTAAGAGGTCTGTGGCGGACTCTACGTCAGCTCCTGTGGATTTCCCGGTGCTTTCTGGTGGAGAAATCTGATCAGCTGGGGCTTCCCCTTGAGCCAGTGCCCCATCCATTTTCTCAACATTCTCAGGGGATGAAGCGGCTACACGAGCTATGGCTGCGGTATCTTGTGGCTCCTGTTCATGTAGATCTCCATTCTTGGGTTTCTTCTTTTTAGCCTTCTTCTTCTTCTTCGATGAACTTGGAGAAGAAGCATCCACTGTCAGCTCTTCAGGGATAGGCGCTTGGCCTGCTTCGTCGGCAGCCTTGTCTGTACTCCCCGTTATTGGCTTGGCTGATCCTGTGACTGCTGCTCCATCAACAATCTCTGCTTCTTCACCTTCTGCAGAAATATTCTTGGCAGAAGTGAGGTTAGAATTAGACTCGACTTTAGCCTCCGCATTTCCCAATGGCTCGTTATCCTCCACTGAAGACTTTTGTGGTTCGGATTGCATTCCAGGGTGTGTCTCTTGTGGTTGCGTTTTCTCATCTAGTGTAGCACTGATTCCCGCCTTTACCTCGTCAGTAGTTACAGATTGTAGCGGTTCGTCAGGCAATGCACGTTCCTCTTCAGCAGGTAGCACAGGATCTGCAATTGCGACGTTGACAACGTCGGCAGGGCTTGTAGCTGCCTGTCCTGGATCCCCTCTACCTTTCTCTACTGCCTCTATCGTTGGGATTTGGACAGCTGGAGGCACAGGAACAGCCTCGTCTGGCAGACCTTGGGAAGTTGGGTCATGAGATATTAGAGCATCACCTGACTCAATATTACTCTGGGTGGCTTTTGTCAGAGTTTTCTCGTCAGATGGCTGAAGATCCTGCAGATCAGCATCCAGGACCTTCATAATAGGCGTGTCAACATCTGCGGATGGAGTATCGTTCCCGGGGGCCCTTGGCGTTGCAAAGTCGGGAGCTGTCAGCTCTCTAGTCAGATATTCTTCAGCAGCGTCTGAAGCATGAGATTGTTCACTTTTAGGAGTAGAAGGTCGGGACACAGGTAAAGGTGGAAGACTGTCCAGGCTGCGCTCTAGCCCGCCACCGTCTTTTACGCCGACTACAGAGCCCTCGGCAGAAGGAAGAGCCCCGATTATTGGAGAAGGAGGCAACTCTGCATAAGTGCATGGATCCTGGAGAAGTTCAGAGGGCGAATGGAACTCGTACTTGGGCTTGTCCTTCCGAGGTAACTGATAGGTGTTTATTTGTCCAAAGCTTGCGGCAGTAGGTGTTACTTCTTGGGAACCAAGCACTCCGTGTTGAGAATCAGAGGGCATATCAACGTGAACAGGCCGCTGGTCTCTATGAATACTGGGGCTCAAATCTATCTTTTCCCAGCTCTTCTCATCCTGCAGAGATGCGAGATTCTCAGCGGATGCATTTGCTGATGATGTCTTACTTGACGGTAGGGAAGGTAACGGTTCTTCAGGCTGAGCTTCCGTTTTGCTACCATGATGTTCGACAAGCCACAGAGGTCGCATCTCTCGTGAGGATATAAATTCACCGGAAGCTGGACGCCGGCGCCTGTTGGAGAGCTAGGAGATGGCGCTGTGATTGAACTGACTGAAGACGACCGATGGGCTCGTGGTGATGTGGTTGGTGGTCGACGAAAATGCAAAGGGACGGCGGTAGGAGACTCTGTTGGTCGAACCCCGGACGACCGCCGCGACTGCTGACCCTGGACCTCTTCGTGCCCCTGAGCCAATTGGGGTGAGTTTGGTATACTCCGAGACCTTGGGCTTAGGTCGATAGTTCTCCCTGATGCAGGTGGCGATGTCGAGAGACTTCTTGGCCGCTGTTCGAAAACATCCAGTCCCAATTCTGCCAATTCTGCATCCGTCGAGGTAAAACGCCCCGAAGCACCTTCACGGTCATCATCTCCTACCTGGTCAGGCATTTCGGGGCTTCCAGCTAAAAAAGACGGCTGATTGTCTCCATCTTGCGATATTGTCCGGCCCTGCGTACAAAGAAAAGTAAAAGGAAAACGTTTAGTACATGTGTTATACACTTTGCTTAAGATCAAATATAGCAATAAACTGAGTAAATCACAGTTTACGAACAACAAAAACAGCTAGAACCATACCTTCTCACGTTCTGTTGTTTTATCCAAGTCCGCTAATTCTCCATACTTTTCTCGCCGCTTTTCCTCCCTTCGTTGTCGTCGAGACTCACCGGAACGTGGCCCGACTTCGGATTGGACGTCGCGAGATGGATAGATATCGGATGATAGTTGTCTGCTTGCTACCGGCTCAGACACTTTAGAGCCAAAAATATTACTGAATAGACCACCTGCCCTCTTTTCTTTAGCCTGTTCATCCGTACTTCTGCTGCGATCACTAGTCTCTTCAACTCTGGCTGGGGAAGATGTCACGGAGACGGTGTCATCGAAAGCATCACTATCCCGCTTGGAACGTCTTTTCTTTCGCTTCTTCTTCCCGATAGCAGAACCCTCTTCAACGGCAGGTGGACTAGCTCTACTAGGGATGTCGGATTCGCGACTGTCTTTGCAGTAACTAACTTCCTCGATCGGTGCCTCACTATGTCTAGGTATAGCAGCTGAGGTATTTGACCTTGAATCATCCTGGGCTGATTCTTGTGTGTCTCCACACGGCTCCCGCTGGCTGGATGACTCCTCTAGTTCGAATCCACCAGGGATATGCAAAACTTCTTCTGCAGGTGACTCGGGTCCAGAACGCTTCTCTCGAAAGACCAACGTTTTCCCGCTCTCATTCGGTTCCTCCACGGCCCTCCCGGGAAGTTCACCCACCTCGGGTGTTTGCTCTCCGGTGAGTTGCTGGATCACTTCTTGCGCAATTGATGATGGAGGTTGATCATCATAAGATGTTCTAATGCCGTCACTGATCGACACCGGTTCGGAGTAAACTGGCTCGTTTTCGACGAATTTCCCTATGTTTGGCTGCTTCTCTCCCACATCGGGTGTTACCGCCTCATCAACATAGCCACGAGCTCCTGATGAAGAGGCGAGCTTTTCCCTGATGTCCGACACAAGGGAGGGGCCAAAACCCGCGGCTGCAGCAACTGCAGCGGCTGTTGCCGCGACTTCAATATCAGTGCCATACTCACTTGTGGCGCCTTTGGACAGATCGGTTTGAATGGCCGGAATTTCTTGGGCGGGTTCACTACCAGTCTGCTTTTCCTGTCCACGGTCTGCCACAAATTCATGATCGGCGGGGTCGAGTTCAGAGGATGTAGATGGGACTTCATATTCGCGTGTCTCATCCTTACCCCAAGACACGCGGGAGCCTGTTGTCGATCGCTTTGGTATCCTATCATCTTCAGGGACCTCTGGTGGCGATGGAATCGGAGAGGCAATATCTCTGACGGAGCCACTTTGACTTTGAGGAGGCGTGGGCTCAACCACCTTGAGCTCTGGAACTGGCCATGGTAGACCGCGATATTCTGGATGGGGCTCCTCTGTTGCCTTACTTTTTTGACTTGCAGGTTCCACCTCTATGATAGTTGGCATTGAAGCGGGTTCGCGACGCATGTATGTATCAGGGTTATGCCGCAACTCTTCGGGTGCGAAGAATTGTGCATAATCGTGATGAACCGGCTTCTTGGGAGGAATGTCACTGAATACTGAAGTCTTGATATGGTCTTGTTCGGAGTTCGGGTTCGGGCGCTGGTCAACATCGTTATAGGCACGGTCAGGCATGGGAAGGCCGGACGATATCTCAGAACCTGACACACGGCGTCTTTCTGCGCGACGCTTCTCTGAGCGTTCGTAATGACGCCTCTGGCTGGATTCGGAGGAACCACCGTTGGAGCCTTGACCGGAAAGTACACTGGCTGCAGTTATACCTCCGATCGCGCCTACTGTTGCTAGTCCAATCGTTGATGCTGGGCCTCTCTCCCCACTAGGCCCTTGTCCGTATTGGTCGTGGGAACCATAATCAGAATCCCGGTACCCCTCATAATACCGTCTTGACCTATTTTTATCCTCCTGTGCCGCAATCTCACTCTCCCTGTCAATGAGCTGAACTCCTTGGCGCCCAGATTCACGCTTTATACGCTTAAGATGATCTGCTCGTTGCTCCTTCTCTGCTTGATCTCTAGTAAGGTCAAACTGTACGGAGCCCTGGTCTTTCATGGTAGAACGACGCTTCATACTAGACATCGATGCACCCTCCAAAGACTCCGTATGAAACACAGGTGATGAGTCACTTCGTCGAGGGGGGCGGGTGACTTTTGATGGCATATCGATGGTATCATGGTAAAGGGGGGTTTCATGCTCCCAAAGGCCAACTCCTGAACCTTGAGCTTGGTAGTCATAGTGTGCAAATGTATTGGCAAACGGAGGAGGACGAGATGGTGTAGTATATGCATGGATACTCTCTCCTTGTGAAGTATAGACAGCCTGAGAGACTGGTGTCACCGGTTGGGGTTGTTGAAGAGGGATGGGTCCTGAGCGAATCAGTGCCGGCTGCGAAGGAAAAGACGATACTTTGACAGCGTCAAAGCGTGAAGGATCACTAGTGGGCACTGGGGCCACGTGTTGAAGATTCCCAGCACTGCTTCCAGTGTCCTCGCTGGTACGTCTCCCTCGCTTGTTATAGTCGTGGACTACTGCGGCCGTTCCCAATACTCCCGCTGCTACAGCAGCATTAACAGGGAAACGACTATCCGATACGTTGGACCTCATTCTCTTTTGCTCTTTGCCTTTCTTGTTGCCCCATCTCCAGCCCCACAATGATGTGCCAGAATCAGAAGACGGCGAGGCATTATTACCATAAAGTCCACTGCCTCCGAAGGCAAGCGCTGAACTAACACTGGATGACGATTGATCTCCTGAGTCCACGTCCTCCCAAGCATCGTCATTGGTGGCAGACGACGAATAACCCAAACGAGTGGATGGGGGTTCTTTTCTCGCGAGAATCTCGCCTGTCCGTCGACTTCGACGGTCAGTTGAAGCAACTATTGCTGTTGCTGTTGCTCCTAATCCTAGCAATGCCGCATCCACGTTGTTACCGTCCTTCTTCTTGCTTCGCTTTTTAGACTTCCCTGATGATCTTTTGGCATAGCCATTTCCGAATGCTAAATCAGCATCTAGGGAGGATGATGACGAATTGTTGAATGAAAATATACTTCTGCGCTTTTTAGCCTGCCGCTTTCTGCGATTCTCAGAAGAGGCTGTGAAAAATGAGCTCAAGCCACCACCCACAGATTTCTTGGCCGGTCTAGAGATATCTACAAAGGATGACTCAGAAGATGAGTATTTCCGACTTTTGGTCTTCCGCGGTGACCGGCTACGGCTGCTGCTGCGGTGGCGGCGTGGCTGACTTTCAAAGTCGCCCACTGGTTCAATTGCAGCTTCCAAAGCTGCATCTCGGACTGCAAAATGCTTCTTCGATCTTGACGAAGATCGTGACCCAGAGTGGGACAGGCGCCGAGGTTCGTAGTCTCGCAGGTCTTCATAGGAGCGGCGGCGTGAGCGCCCATAGACGCCACGAGATGTGTGACTCCGCTTCTCGAGCGTTGATAGGTTCTCAGTGTCAGATGCCGAGCTTGCAGCTCGGCCGGATCGAACACTATAGGTATCCTCGAAGTCTCTGTTCTTGAAGGCTGATTTTATAGCGTACCCAGCAAGCATCCCAGGTAGCCAGGAGCTTGTGGAGGTTTTCTTGCGACGTCGACCTTCGTCCTCTGAAGAGGGGTAACGACTAGTTTTGTCCACTCGTGAGCCATTGCTATAGCGATCACTAGAGCGACGACGGGGTCTATAATAATGTTTTCGAGGGGCGTCGCGCGACGAGGTGCCCGGTTCAAAACAGTGCTTGCAAACGCCAATGGTTTCAGTATAATCCTCGAACATACCAACACCTTCTGCGTCACGCCAAAAATCAAGGAACTTGCCAAGAGGGCCCCGTTGGCGTTGTTGGAATGCCAAACCCCCGGACTGAAATGGTGCTCCGTGGTAAAGGGCTGCATGATGAGGATGCAATGGGTGGGCAGCGTACGCTGTCTCCCCAGCACCAGCTATGTAGGGGGGTGGTGCATTCAGCTGATCCGGGTACGTAGACGGACCAGGGTGTCCCACATTGCTCGGGGAAGCGTCCTCGTAATTCTGATTGCCGGGCTGAGGGGAATTTTCTACGTTCGGGGATGATTGATGATGGTGGCCGATCATATGACTTGTTACCGCACCTGCTGCTGCTGCGCCAACTAATGTCCCAATACCAGGAGTATCGGGCGGTTTGGACGGGTTGATACCAGAAGGCGGGACAAACGTAGGCGTCGGCGACTCGACTAGCAATGGAGAGGATCCAGAGCCAATATTCTGAGGACTACCTTCCTCATGCGCAGTAGCGGTTGTAACAGGCCCTGAGACCCCTTCAGTTTGTATAGTTGGTCTGGGAGGTTTTGGTGTCGGTCCTGAAGGGGGTTTACTTGATTGTTCGGGTGCTTGTATCCCTGGGTCTGCGTCATCTGCGTAATACGCAGCCGCTGCACCGGTCTGCCCCATACTACTAGGCTCTGGCGGCGGGTTGGCATGCGGTGATGCCGGCATCAAGTGCGCTTGATTATTGGGAATAACTGTGGGTGGCTTAGGCCGAACACCGGGTTGTTGCGCGACTGACTGCCCCTGGTCGCCGTAGTAATCGGCTGCTGCGCCTGCAGGGTTTGGTTGGTAAGGTTCGCCAACGAAGGCCGGAACTGGCCTGGAACTGCTGCTGTACGTGGGGGTCGTAGACACCAGGCACGTTAGGCGAGCTTGGTACAGATGTCACTGGGTGTGTGTTGTGGAACGGCGGGGGGAATTGGGGATGGTCAGAAGCTCCCACCTTCTGAGCTAAGTCTGCTCCAGCACCGGAAATGGGCACGCCTGGCGATAAAGGCATTTCGTCAGGCTGCGTTCGTCGCCGCTCTCGAGGATGACCACTTTCATGGTTTCCATTATCAATCTCATCTGTATTATCTTGGCGTTCACTGGTTCGTTCGCGGCTCGGCGATCGGGAGCGATTGCGTCTATGTCGGGGTTTGTCACTGCTGTCATCGCTGTCTGGATATCGATCGCGACGTTCACTATCGTCTAGATCTCTGCGCCTCGGTGCCCGTTCGATGACATTTCGGTCGGGCTCGATCGCGGTGTGGGGTTCCGCCGTCGCATAGCTCGACGCAACGGAATCGCCTGCCGCGCTGGGTGCATAGCGCTTGCTGCGGTTTCCAGACGATGAGTAGGCTGACAGGTCACCCAAGCCTCGGTCACGGTCGTCACCCCGTGAGGACTTGCGGCTCACTGTTGAAGAAGCTTTGGAATCTGTTCTGCGACGGCTACTACTCTTAGAACTAGAGCTGCTGCGGGCATCGGACGAACGGCCCCCGGCCAATAAGGCCTTGAACATGGTGGGCAGAGAGCGATCAAGCGATGCCCTAAAAAGCCAGGCAACCATGTGGGATACGGGCTGCTGCGGCTGTCAAAAAGGCGAAGGAAAGGGTAGGTAGGTGTGTGCGTGTGTTGAGAAAAATACCAACCGCAGGCCGGCTATAAGATAGCGAGGATCGAGGAAAAAAGAAAGGAAAGTAAAAGAAGAAAGAGATAAAGTGGACTAGCAGGGAAAGTATAAGGGGAATAGAAGAGTGGAACAGAAAATTAACTATTGGGGACAAAAAGGGCGCGTATAGATTGATCGGTCAATTCAGGCCGAGTTGTTTTTGCGACGGAAGGGTAGTAAACATTGGCGCAGCTGAACCGTGGTTCTTTTTTTTTCCTTCTTGCTCGGAAGTCGGAGGAGGGCCCCAGCTTCGCGCGGAGGCGAGGACCACTTTGGTCAGCAATCTAAGTTTGGTTGCTCCAGTGTGCCGCTAGTTAGGGCGATCGAGAGGACTTAGCGCCCTCAAGCAAGGATAGAGCGGCAGCTCGGGTCTGATGAGATAGAGGGGAGAGATCTGGTGCAGAATTAAAGGAATGCGGGGAGGCTGGTGATGTCGGAGGCAAAATGAGTTTGGATCTCGGATGAGATGACTTCCCTATAGTAGGTTAAAAAAGAATGAGGAATGCAGAGAAGGTTAGTTGGAACGATTCGGAATCGCGGTGAGATGTGGGCGCCGTGGTGCACGTGCGGGACAGGTCGATGCACATAATCAAAACAGAGATGGCTGGGGCCACAGTTAGACAGTATCATAATTATTATGGACCACTAGCGTCCATAATTAGAAGTCATTTACTCATTATCTACTCCGTAGTACCAGATCAGTCTGTCTAACCCAGCCTCCTCAACTGCGCACTACTACTAGTACTAATAGTAGTGGTTGCAGGTTCCACCCCGCCCAGCTGGTCAGCGTGGTACGAAGCAACCTTGGTTGCTGAAAGCGGTGCCTGAGGCAACCTAGGGACCTCGACACAACATCCATGGAACATGACCATCCTTATCACAACCTGCAAGGGCCATCTCCGACACATCAGCTATCAACCTTCGACGTACATACGCTTCCACTATATATTCATGAAAGGAGGAGATTGAGCCATCATGCCCAAGGGACAAGGATACAGTGCAGAACCACGCTATATCCATTGATTTAGGCAGCATGCGCCATTGACTCAGAACACACCCATCATCCTAGGAGCCGCCAATAATCTTATACCATGAATAATAGCCACCTAACCTGTCAGATGCACTGTGCAGTACTCCGTACGAAGTTCCAGAATGTATTGTATGCGGAGGCAATCCTCCATGATCCGCTAGAAATGCAAATGAAAGAGCCCTCCCGTACCCATTTCCTGCTTCGATTAGCAGGTGCAGTCGACGCCAACCAGAACCTTTAGAATACCACAAAGAAAACAAATCAAAACCAACAGAGAAAACCGTCAGATAGCCACCCTTCCTCTCCACATGCACGGGACAAGACCACACAAACCACAAATGCAGGTGGTATCTAAAATCGAGACAAAAAACAAACAAACAAGCCACCATGCAGATACACGTATATATCATGAGTTAGATACGAAATAAAACGCTGAAGCGCATTCTGGAAGGCCCACTGGTGGAGCAGAAAAATCGAAGTGCAGGCGGGTTGTGAAGCTATGGCCACCTAGGGGTGTCATTCAGCTTGCATGTACTTGTTTAAGTGAGGCGTGCATCGTAGATGCTAGTAAATTTTACCGATCAAGAAATCGGAATCCAGATATATCAGGCTGCTAAGCTTAATCAGTTGTATCCCTCCACTCTGAGGGATTTCCAAAGATTTTCTCGTATATCTCAGTAAGAATTCGCGCGTCAGCCCGGAGAGTAGGAGAAATATAACGACTCTGCAGCAGAAAGTTGATTGTTCGCTTAAGAAGTCTCTCGAGCTCGTTTCGGTCCACCAATTCCGAGAGACTAGACATGTATGTAGCGGACAATACCAACATGTTTCCGAATTGTCTGTGAAAATACAATAAATAATGTCAGCTGATGCACTCCATCTTACACATAATATCTGCAGGTTTTCACATACGCATGGGCCGTGCCGAAAATGTTGGTTACTACCGGGCGACCCTTTATGCCATCAAAGGCCACTGTGCTTAGAATAGCTGAATCAATACAAACTTTACAAGCTCTTCGTAGCTTTGTGGGCAAGTCGCGGTGTGCAATCCCTGTGAACCCAGAAGTAGGACCGATATCACTTGATAGACGTGCCATGTTTGTGGCACCTTGACTATGGTTCATTGATGGTGATATTTGCTGTGATTTGGAAGCAGTCATAGCAGTAGCCTGAGTAGATGGACCATCCGATGATGCGCGAAGGCCTAGTTGTCCATAGTAATGAAGGGCGTGATAGAGTAAGGGACGATGGATAATGTAACGTGCACCATAGTACTTGGCTCGCATTCGCGCGACGTTAATTTCTTCTGACGGTGGGTCTGTGTCTTTCCACTTCATAACAGCAGGTAGACTGTTTCGCCAAAGTTCAAGATTCATACTTAAGATTTCTTGAACGTGCGAGGACCAATGGGTCTGCCCTTGCTCTGTAGACCATCATCTTAGCACCATTTAACTTTATACCATTTCCAGGTACCAAAAACTCACTTTCAACTTTATATAGATCAGTATGAACACGGTTAAGAACCTTCCTTAGATGAATCTGGGCCGAGTAGAAGAACATCATCATAGTACTTGGGGCGGAAATTTCATTTGGGAGGTTAAGAGTAAACCGTCCCTTGGGTAAAGAGATGCGAGCTTCCGAGCGTGAGATACCGCTGGCGGGAAGATCAAGTTCTGCTAGTATATCACTTGATACAGGTTTAGCACTTTCCCGAGGTGACAGTAGAAAGAAATGAAGTACAGAGGGTGCACACATACCTCTCCAGCTGAAGACAGGTCCAATACGCAAAATCGTAAAGGTCCTTGTCGGGGCCATCAGGCATTTGTGTGTAACGCTTTCTAGGGGTTCTAATTAGTGCCATATACTAATGGTTGCTTAAACGGGAGTAGCAATCCATACGATCGAACCAAAACTTGACAAGCCCTGGCGGCTTGAGAAATCCATCCGTGGCTTTGAAAGGGGTGCGCCAACTGGCCTGCGTAAAGCCCTGCTAATAAGGCTGCTTGAACATGAGGCAGTCTATTTGCTCCTTGGAGACTTCCAAGGATCTGGGTAGCGTATGCGTAGAATGCTAAGCCAGGAATATAATCCAAGTTTTTGTCTTGAGATGCATAGGTGTGGTTATCTGTGACGTAACCGCTGCCTTGAGACTGGGGAAGAGAATCCGAACCCTCGGGCGATAATAGACCGTGCGTAGGAGGACCAGGTATTGTCTCTTTTCGAAAGTCCACCGGGGAGTTTGTGACTGGGCCGGGCACAGGATTTGCTTCGCAGATACTGCCAAGAGCGAGAACCAGAAGAATAATAGCATTATAGATGGATTTCTCTATACGCCGGCTGCTACCTTGTTCCATTGCGGGTTGCATATCGCATCCCACACCTTGTAAGTTTTCGCATGAACGCTTTCGTTTTGCGCCTCGGGGCACATCATTCACATGATTATTCGGCACCCCAGGGGACACCACAGGGCCTTTCAATGGACAGTACATCCTGATAAAATAGTCGACCTTGTTCTCTAAGTCGCTCTGATCAAGAAACGGGTGAAGCTGGTGCATATGTTTCATATAGTTTTTATGATAACGGCGGATCATATCAGGGTCTGCAGTTAGCATACCATTCTCGTCAAGCCCCTTATTCTCAAGTTTGGTCTGGGGTTGGTTTACGTACACCCCCCAAGGTCCATTAGAGGGGGATGCCGCATAGTATGGCTGGTTTTCATTAAAACTAGTACTCAAGGTCGTTGATGGTGGGGACAGGCCATTGTCCTCACTAGTCTCATCTCCCTCTCCACGACCATAGACGCGGATTAAGCCCCTCTTTTCTTCGAGTGTCATCACGTAATCCTCATCATACTCTCTTGGATGAAGAAGATTCCGAATAGAAGGCCACAACAGCAATTTATGAGCCGCCGTCGTGTGCTCCACAGGGATTGAGAGCTCACCATCCTCACCAGACGGGACAACTTGCTCTGTGGCCGTTTCAGTCGGTTCTGATATCTGCTCCGGTATTGTAGCAATATTCTCATCCTTGGCTTTCGACTCCTGGATGTCGATTATGTCCTTCTTCGCCAATTGCGGGACTGCCGGTTTCCGTGGTTCCTTTGGTATGGACTTGGCGTCTATCTTTGCCAGAATGGAATTAAAATTGTTCCCGTGTTCCGTATTAAGTTGGTCTAAACGATCGAATCTGTCCAATATAGCATCCTGGAATGACTGCAATCGATCCAATAACAGCTGGGTCGCCTTTTCTTGTCTATCAAGGTCGTTAGCGTCCTTCTATCATTGCTTCGGAGTATTGAAATGGAAGGGCTAGGAACACAGACTTATGCGGAGGGACTTCTTTGTAAACGCAGTTCAAGTTGTTCTCCTTGCAATGACTACATGACGGCCGACCTTCATCGCACTTGGCTTTCCTCGCTCGGCATTGGTCGCAAGCCTTCAACCATGGGGCGAGCAACATATGTCAGCAACACTTTCTCTTTGCGCATATACCTATGCAGCGCGGCATTTTGCGACAAAGAGTAGAAGAATTGACTTACCTGCTGTGCTCGTGCAGCTTTGCGCTGGCGAATACCATACGCCTGACTCTGATAATAGTTAGAATCATACGGAGCTGGTGTATGAGACATAGGCGGAACGGGGGTAGAATATGGAGCTGGGGGAATTGAGTGCGGTGGCAATTGAGGCGGAGCGTCGCCATTACTATGTGGCTCTTGAGGTGGAAAAGACATCCGAGATCGATACTCAGGCGGCGCAGAATGGGGTGCCGGCTCATGAGGTGTCCCATTAATGGGGCCCCGGAACGGTGGATGCGCTTCCGCTGGTGTATGTTTTGGGGCTGTTAGGCTTCCCTGTCGACTATACGGGCCGTCAGGAGGAAGCTGCGGCAGCTCGCGATTCGGGATAACAGGGTACCCATGTGAAGATAATGGCGGAGGAGCGGTGGATGTTCGACGTTGTTCTGCAGGGTGACCTTCATAGGGTGGGTAGTGGCGCCACGGCTGCTCGTACATGCCCGGCACACTCGGTGGACCATGCGATCCGTCGGGAGGAATGCGATGCATTGGGGGCGCAGGTCCAGAAAAGGCAGGAAGTGTTTTCGGCTTATCGTCTGTTGAGATAATTTCCATAATCGTGGGCCCGCAGCTACGGCTAGGATCACCAGATCGCCGCAGATCCGCAGTGGACGGTCGATTCAGTGCGAGAGACATACGGTCATGAGGACATCATGTCCCAGAGAATTGCTATCAACGGCGGGTTTAGGCTTCCATACACTGGTGAGTTACACCAACTTAGTGAGGCGGTGGAGTCTTACCACAGTAAGAGCTTCGCCAGAGGTTCCCAGAATTGGCAATGAGCTCTTGAGTATGAGATCACAATTTTTGGCAGTGGGGTTAGTTGGCCCGGGTTGCCTTCTCTTTCGTGGAGCTTCTATTAACTTGCGATTTTTGAACAGGGTGGTGACACCAGAACGGTCAAGTTGACATTCTAATATCACGCGAAAAGAGGTGTAAGGTTTTCCGGTTTGTTTGATTGACGGATGGGAGCAAATGTCCACAACTTGATAGCTTCTAATAGTTAGCTATAGTGGGTTTGAAAGATAACGATCGCAAAGACAGTATTATCAACCGTCGACCAAGGGCAACATTGGCTAAAAGATTTAAGAGAAAAAGATAATAAAGGACTCTGGGGAAATTAGGTAAGAAATGGTAATAAAGGCAAAGGAAAGCTAATGCAAAGCGAAACCCAGAATGATGGTAACAGTAATAATAGGTCGGACATCAAGAACAGAGCTCAGAATACTTAGTACCTGTCATAAGTAGTATAAGCTTGGGGGGGGGAGGGGGGGTAGATGGAAAAGAACGAGATCCGCGCAGGAGCTAATGACTGGAGTGGGCACTGGGCACACCGACCCTGGTCAGTGGGAGAACATAAGGTATGTAAGTAATCCCTTCTCCAGTACAGAGTACTCCGTATAGGTACTTTTCTTTTTATAACGCCGACGAGATGTGCAGACGAGGGATCCAAATCAGGTAAGAAGAGCGCAA